AACTCTCCTCAGCTCCAGACAAGCCCGGTCTTTATACACTCCCCTATGATTACCACCACCTCACCCAAAAAAAAAAATTAAAAAATTAAAATTCCAACCTTTCCTTTTCCTCCTCTCCTCCAGCTGGAGAGCAAGTACAGGACGACGGCCTTTACGCTGCTGCTCGAAGCTTAATCAACTAATCCGCCGGAGCATTCCAATTAAATTAAGCCAAGAACACAGTCCCTCCCTCGCTCTCGGGATCGGGGGCCAATTGGCGACTCGATATGCTTCGGCTTCTTGGCGGGTAACTACGACTACGGCTCCATTTAAGCAAGCTGATAAACGCGGCTTAATCAAAGATTCAAGGAGAGCAGGGAAGCAGGCAGCGAGTGCAACGGGACACGTGAGGTGCGGGCTAGCACGTCGGGGGGAGGCTGATTGATTCGTTGCGTGGAGCCGAGCCGGCCGGGCGCTGTCGGTGGCGACCGGATTGGTTGGGGTCCCCGCGGGGGTTGGTCTCGTTACTGCTCTGCCACCACGTTGCCCCGCCCCCTTGCTGCTGCTCACCACCATTGCTCATCCTACCACAGGCTACCACTTCATCATCAAGATTTTAGCACAGCTACTGCTACTCATTTGATTTACTAGTTTAGTACTGTAGTTTGTTTTCGTTGATCCAAATCAACTCTGTTTCTTTCAGCAATGCAAATCAGTGTTCAGTGAATGGATTGGATGATCACCGAATTTTACAGCGCATCATCGGTCATAATTGATGCAAGCAGAGTGATTCTAACAGATAGAGAGCAAAATTGCAGGCAAATTAAAGCCAGTGAACCAGTGACTTCTGAGAATGTTCTTCAGGTTTTTTTTTTTTCTGTTGCAAACCGGACAGTGGTTAATACTGTAGTATGTTCTCCCCTACATAACGATACTAACAAACGTTAAAAAAAATGTTGGAAAAAAGAACCAACTTGGGAAATCTGACGTGCCCACCACACACACTGCTCCAACCGTTTACTAGCCAGCACTTATACCGACACCAAAACACGTAGTAGGAGGCACAGTACAAGTGGATTATTACTCGCATCATCAGTGGTGCGTGCAGCAATGTGACGTTTTTAGAATGTGATTTCTTCCAGCTGCCATCTGTCTGAATCTATAGGGTTGTACTACTCAGTACATAAGCATTTTCTCTGTTCTAAAACGAAACGACCTAATATTATAAATCCGAATACAATATAGCAGTTTAGTATTGTATTAGAAACAACGTAGCACTACGAATCTGGACATAATATAGCAACGTACCATATTAGACACCCCATAATACTATGATATATGTCCAGATTCAAAGTACTACGTTGTGTTCTAGTACAATGAATATAGACACAATATAGCTAGCTAGTACTCGATTAGACATAATATGTCCAAATTCGTAGTAGGCTACATCTAATTCATTATTAAGTTGCTATATTTTAAAACGGATAGAGTATGTTTCAAGGCCCCAGAAATAATTGGCATAATAATTAATGAGGTAGAGATAGAAGGTAACAAAATAAGGAAAGGAAATGCCAAACTTACATAAAAATATCATGAAATGAAATGCCAAGCTTTTGACAGGAAAGGCAAAAAAATAATAATAAATGTATAAATATATGTAATGTAGAATAACTCAGGAAAGGAAATGCCAAGCTTTTGATAGGAAAGGCAAAACAATTAATAAATGTAAAAATATATGTAAGGTAAAATTTTCAGAAAAGGAAATGCCTAACTTTTTACAGAAAGGCAAACAAAACAGGACAGAAAGCTGAAGCTGGTAAGACAACAGAAAACTCCCCAAATTAACTTTTCATAATATATATATAGACAGAGATGGAAGTATAAAAAAAATTATGTGAGGTCTGGTCCGAGCAGAAGAGGAATAACAATCTGAAGAGATCCAGTCAGAAGAAAACAAGATCAAACAAAGGATCCGCCCCGTACTTGTTTTTCAGCGAAATTATTTGAGAGAGAAGAAGCACTGGAGGGGAGATTAGATCTAGCTATGCTGGCCAGTGGCCACTTGGGTTTGCTTGGAGATTGCATGATTATATATGATCAAAATGGTTAAGGAATTTATAGAAGATATATAGTGGGATCATGTTTGGTAGGATATATGTGCAAAAAACATCGCCTTTTTTAGTCAAACTTAGATTGCACATTGCTGGATTCATGTGGCACGGTTACTGAATGTTTGAGGCCTTCCATATATTGTATACTACAGCTTACAGACTGCGTGTAGACTTCATATTCCCTATGCAAATTAAGCAGATAAGTTTTTTTTTCACCTTTTTCAGAACAATCCATTGTCTGCTCCTTCAGAGCTGTTGCTAGACACCTGCAGTTACGTAGAAGTCAAAAGATTAATACTGTCCAAAAAAGAAATGTTTTCAATACAGAAAGCTATGCTCTTCTGGTTGCCAAAGTCATATTCTTATAGTATTATGTTTGTAGTATTATTTTTTAAAAAAAAAAACTGACCCTGCAAAACTCAAAATAACTTTCAAGAAACACATTCTGCTGTCTTGCTGAGAAGCAGTGGACACACATTCTATTCTTGCTATCAAACTCGTATGGCTGCATCATTCTCTCTCTCTCTCTTCTGAAGAAAGCATTGTCAGGACGGAACATCTGAAGAAAGGAGGAAGCAGAGACCACCCATGAAAGACAGAACACATGATCAGAACCCAAAGCCAATATAGAAACAAACCAAGATCAGATCTGAAACTGCTCAACTTGCCTCAGGTAGGGACAAGTTTCGTTTGCATGCCCCATTTACGACATCCATCCATGATAACTGATGAAAGAGAAAAAAAATAAGAAAAGAAAAGGGCAATTGGCAATGCCAATCGAATCTCTACGCAGGCTACAGAACCTGGCAAGCTTGCGCTGTTAGTTACTCCTTCCTAAGCTGCACTTGCTAATTACTGATACTAGTAAGCAATTTGCTTCTACTGAAGTGGTGTGATGGCCCCCCTCTCTTTTCAGTATTTCTGTTTGTTGATGCATCAAGTTGGCCGTTGTGACATGTACTGCACTGACATGGCTGAAATGGAATACGATGGCAAGAGGCAATTTCCTACCCCGCGTTGCATCTGAGTAACTGGGGCGAATGTTTGTTGTGTTTCTCATATGGAGTGCTATTAATAAAGATTCAGTAAATCCCCATTTACTACCATCATGTCACCATTGGGTCAGTAAATCCTGAGAAATAATGCTGATCGTACCATGCTACCGCATCATCGGTTGTACTAGAGTATATGCCCACGCGATTCACATGAAGATTAAAAATAACCTCATTGATTAACCCTTCTCATTTCTCAAGATATCCAGGTGTGGTCTCCCCTCTTCTTTAGCTATTTCTTCAGAGTTCAGAGTTCAGGTTGTAGGGTAGATCTTTTTTCCCCACTCTATCTATCACATGGTGATTAAAGATAACCTTGATTAACCCTTCTCATTTCTCAAGATATTAACTTCTTTGATGGCTTGGTTTGCTCACTTCACTGACAGATCCAGCGTTGAGCATCTCAGAGATGGCAAGAACACACGCATCGCATCGAATCACACAGGAGGGCAGCGTCGTCAGATTCAGATGTGCTCACGTTCAATGCTGCTGCCTGCTGTACCTTAGCTTGGATGCAGCGATGCAGGCAGCGAGGGTCCAGCCATTATTAACTCCTATTGCTACAATACTACTGGTAGTACCACGCACGAGTAGGAGAATCATAAGCTACTACGATGCTGCTTGTTATTTAATTTAATCCGTTCTTGTGCTGCCATTGCCGGGGAGGACGTAAGGAATCATTCCAATCTGCATCTCGATCGATCCATCACCCATGCCGCCTTGCTCTGATTGATTCCTCCTTTTCAATCCGTGCAATGCAATAGTAGCATTACTTACACGCTGCACAAGCATGAAAAGGCTGTAGTTTTTCGTGTGGAAATTTACCGGGAGTAGTTCAGTTCCTACGAAAATACTCTAAAATTCCTCCAAAAGGGAGTCTTAAATTTCAGGTTATCAGATCTCGATGGTTTTAGATGTGCCGTATAAGTAAGTCTGTCGCTGCCAACCTGATGATATACTACAGGCTGCCTGACAGCCGACATTGTCATTCAGTCTGTCAACCAGCAAAATAATTCGCTGCACAACCGGGCAACGGAAACTTCACTGCAATAGGAGTCCTAAATTAGTATACTAGCCACAGTGTGTTCATCCCAAGAATCGGGGAGTGTTGTTGCTGCGCCACGAATGACTAACAGCTGATTGTTTATGTGTTAATCGTGGCGATTTGTAAGTTGGTCGCAGACTTGCGTATCGTGATGAGAGGCGAGCATGGGAAAAAGGATGGAATTAACAAATCGATCGCATCGTTGTAACGGCAAATCCAGCAGGAGCTCCAGCATGATCAGCGTACGTGCTTTTGAGTTCAGGCGCACATCTTTATGTAAATAATTTGCATTAGGTCGCTCATCAATGTCATTCGTGCTAGTAGTATTTGTTTGAGTTTGACTAAACTTCAGGTTTTGTTTTAGACGCAGACGACCACTAATGATTTTCCGTCGTGGGGTGCACTAATAGAACGTCTGAACGTTTTCTGCGTGCTTAGACGAGTTCACATTGACCATCAATTTAGTACTAAAAAATTAGCAGAATATTTAGCAGGGTTTGTACTACTTAACTACTTATTGAAATAGAGTTTTATTTGCTATAAATCTTTCGTATTGATCTGTAAAGACAAAATAACATAGTTGTAACAGCGTCCTAATAAATACTTCCTAATCAATTTACCCAAAGTAGGTGGGAATGAAATGGGAAGCTTGGCAAAGGGTAATCAATTTCATGAACAATCATTTTCTGATATAATGAAACAGACATCCTCATTAATCTTCAGTTGAAACAGACATCCTGAAACATGGACCCGACACTGAGAAATTTGGCACGGCCTTACTTATAACATAACGGTATTTAAGCCAATAAGACGAATCAAATGAATATCAAACCATCTACGTTAACTTTGCTTCCACTTCGCACAACAGCAAGAGGTTACCAGGGCGCCCCCATCATTTTTTACACAACCACTTTACAAGTCGAAGAAGCAACAGAGGCAAGAAGATGGAAAACACAGTGGAGGATTCAGCTCAGCAGCGGCTTCCAAAACTGCCGCTGCTCACAATACCACATGCACACACAACTAGACACAAAGGCTTCCCCTTTCAATCCGAGAGGGGGGCAATGCCGAAAGCAATACAGCTAAAGTGATTATCTTTATAAGAGAGGTAACTGTCAGCCTACAGTTAGCTCTGTATTATCTATCAGAGGTGAAACTAATCTCCATCAAGTTATGAGGAAACGCCACAGCTTCTTCGCTGAAGATGTTTTCTCTTCCTCTTCCTCTTCATCTTCCTCGTCAGAGTCATTGTTGTCCTCAGGTCCATCTACATTAGATGTTTCAGTTGCAGACTGCAAATCGAAAACAGAATATAGTAAGTTCAATGGACCAAGGCACATACTAAAAGCATATGATGAGAATAGTGCAGCTGCAGCTGAAAGAGGAATTACCACTGTAGCCTCCACCGAAGGTTCCTCTTGGACAGAATCTGAATTATCCACTATTCCGTTCACGTAAGGCACATCAACAGATGAAGCTGGTTCTCCTGGTTTTGTAAGGTTCTCTGGCCCTTTATCGCCGTATTCATGTTCCTTGCAGGTGTTGGATAAACCAAGTGGGGCTTCATCATGTTCATTCTTGGAGCATTTCTCTTCTAGAGCTGACAGGCTGTCAATATCAGATTGTTAGTGAAGGGCATGAAGAAACATTAAATTAAAATAGTCACGCTGCTTTCAAAAGTTCAGATAGTAGTGTAAAAACAAATCATACCAGTTGGAAGTGATTTCCCCTCCATTAACTTTCTGAATAGTACTCCTTCTGTGCTTTCGTTTTGGCTCTAAAACTTCAGTTTGGTCACAAGAAACCAAATGATTAAGCCTCTTTTGACCAACTTTTGCAAAGTCCAAATTCACATCTTCAACATCCACAGAGTCTCCAACTTTCTTTGGCACACCATTCTGGACAAATTGATCATGGCTAGCGCTCTTCTCTGGAGACCGTTTGAATATCACCTGAGCACATTTTCGAACCCAAGAAATCGGTGTTGAGACTGGAGAAAGGTCTAGTTTCCTTCCAAAACGTTGCTTTGGTGAAGAATGGGAGTTATCATGATGATTGTCTTTCACATTTATATCACTTCCAAGCTTTGACTTATCATGTTGTAACAAAGACAGTTGCTTATTTTCAGAATCAATTTTCAGTTCTTCCAACACATTAAGTTGTTGAATTTGCACTGTAATTGCTTCTCGGTCTGAATGTAATAGTTTTCTTTGCTCTTGCAGCTTCTCCCGTTGATTATTCAAGGCTTCAATAGTGCCTTTTATCTCAGACAACTCTTGCTCTCTCCTCTCACGTTCCAAAGTAGCTTCTTTTCTCTCATCCTTAAGTTTCTGCAATTCAACTGCAACATGTTCTAATTTTGTGTTGATCATCTCCTTCTGAGAATTGATGTGTTCGAGTTCCTTGGCCTTTTTCTGCTCAAACTCTTCCTCCCTTTCCCTCAAATAAGAATCTATTTCCATCTGCCTTGCCTTAGCAGAATTTAGCAATTCCACCCTCTGGATATCAATGTCTCTCTTCAGATCTTGCCTTTCTTGTTGAATCTTACTCAGCCAACTTGCATGTTCTTGCTGCATCTTACTCATGAACTCTTTGTGTTCACGAGAGAGTGTTTCTGAATTACTTTTGAACTGAACACGGAGATTATCCTTCTCCTGTTTGATGATATCAGATTCATTCTTCAGATACTCAGTTATTGCTCTTCGTTCTTCAGCAATTCTGATCGCTTCCTTTTGTAGCTCCTCTTTCTTTTCATCAATCAGCTCCCATTCAATCTCAAACCTTTCCTTTTCGGCTTGCAGCCTATCTGCATCAGCCATGAGTTCCCTTTTTTGGGCTCTGAGGCTGTCAATTTCTTCTTTAAGTTTCATCTGCAGAGTAAGCAACTCATCTCTATCTGCTTGTGTTATTGCTAGATCTTGTTGGGCTTGAATTGCTTCCCGTTTCTCCTCTTCAAAGAAAGCCTTTTCCTTCTCCAAATCCGATTTAATCCTTTGTATTTCTTCCCTTTCTTTTTGAAGTTCATTGTGTATGGCTTCTCTGTGTAACAAGAGCTTTTCCTCCTCCTCTTTCAACTCATCTGATCTCCCTGCCAACGCCTTTTCCTTGCTTGCTAATTCAGCTAGCTGAAGGTCAAGATTCTGGGATCTTTGCACAACCACAGATTCCTGCTCACTGAGAGCACATTCTCTCTGATGCAGCGCATTTCTTGTCACCTCCATTGCTGCATCAAAAGACATTTGTTTGTTTGCCATCTCAGATTCAAAATCATGTTTTCTCCTCTCCAAGGCTATAGCTTGTTCCTGATTCAACCTTTCAATCTCGGCCTGCAGCAGAAATTCAAGATGATTTACAAGAGGTTAAGTCACAACACACATTGTCAATAGTGAAATTGGAGAATCTTACCCGTTCTTTACTTGCGATTGTCTCTTGCAAAATTAATAATTCACTCTCCCTTTTGTCAAGCAGGGATTCCTTCTGAATCAGAGCCTGCAAAAGAGATCAATTTTGTTAGACAGAACTTTCGCAATGATATATAGGTGGTAATAAAAGGAGAAAAATATACATACTTCCTCTCTTGAAACTATTGCCTCCATTTTCAGCTCCAACTTATATTTTTCCTCTAACAAAACCTTCCGTTCAGCTTCAAGAATATTCTTTTCTTCTTCCACTCTTTTCTCTGAGTGAGTAACATAAGCTAATCTCTCAAGGATGTTCTCGTCCCTCTGATTGAGTAGAGCTTGTTCCTTTAGTAATACTTCCTCCTTTTCATGCAAAATTTTCTTCATATCGTTCAACGATTTCCTCTGGAGGCTAATTTCCTTCTCTTTGGCCTCATTCCTGCATTAGCATGCCTGATTTAGGGAAAAGGAATAAAAGATGCCCACTAAACTATGCAAGAATATCTTACAAAGTACACAGTTGACTAAAAAAATTAAAAGCATTTTGACAGTGATTTACTGAACTGAATTAAGCTATACTATATAAGAAAGACGATTTAATTGAAAAGGTGGAACATAGAACACTCACTCGAGCTCACAAGAAATTCGGTCTCTTCTAAGCTGATCTTCGCGATCATCGATGTCATGTAAACTTCTCAGTGCTGCATTATGAGTCCGTATGGACTCTGCCTCCAAAGATTTTGCTAGAAGAAGCTTCTCTTCTGCCTCATCAAATTTCTTGTGTGCAGCCTCCATCAATTGAAGAGCTTCAGCCAATTTCGATTCATATGAAACCTTTGTTTCAGCTGTTTCCCCACGCATATCATGCAATGCTTTTTCAAGCTACCAGAAAAAATTGAATAAGGGCCACATTATCATTATATATGAATTGGATAAAAAAATTAAATCTCAGAATGTCTCATGTACAGTGAATTTTTCTTTTGTTCTCATAGACATAAATAATAAATTTTGCTTCTGAGCTATTATTTGGGATAAAAACTTACATTAGCAACACACTCCTTTTGGATGCCTAAACTCTTTTTCAGGTTTTCTTCCTTCTTCCTTGCTTCAGCTAAAGCAGACTGCTGGGCTGCACGTTCACGCTTGTGCATAATCTCAGCAGATTCCGAAGCAGCTCTAAGTTGCTCATGCTTGGATGTTAACTCCTTCCGCTCCATCAAAACAAGACCAAGATTGTGTTGGTATTGATAAATCTACAACAAAACAAGCAAAGAATAAGATAAAGCAGATATTTTATTTACCATTCTTCTGCAGAGCAAAACGTGTAAATTTGCCTTTAGTTACAACATGTGCAATAGGTCCTAAATATGATAGCTTATGACAATGTAGGTATTTAACATTTGGGCATACATCCGATGGTGAATAGGAAAGAAGTAAATAATAGACTAACTGGTTTACTGATGTGCAGACTTTACTATTGATACAAATTGCATACAGATCAATGAATGGTTTCGGCAAATACCAATGTAATAATAGCCATGGCATCTTCCAACATTAATCGTATGCTACCGCAATGCATAAAGCAATCTACTATTTCAATCCAGACAAGCTAACCCAGAATACATATGTATAGTTGCAACAGTAGAAACCCCAAAGCGAAAGAAATAGATAAATAAGTTGAATGTAAAAATGTAAAAAAAAAAATAAAAGAAGCAAACTTATACAATTACAGTTCAGCCACTAACTAATCCAAGCAAGCTAAACTAAATGACAAACATTCCAAGATAACGATTCTAAACACCAACGCAAAAAAAATAGCTTCTTGAATCATTAATAAACCCATCCAGCATGTCAGCTGTACCTAAGAAACAAAGAACTGAGCAACCACCAAAATCCCAAAATGATTTTTCTTCTTTCCCGATAACTCATAGCGCACCAAACTCGACATTAGTCACACAAGAACCCACGCAGCGAATGATTCCAAGAGGAAGACTTCATCGACGTTCCGCCGATTCTTCTCGGCCATCAATCTTTCTCCTCTCCTAGGAGGAAACCCTCCACCAAGAACTAGCTACTGAGGGAGTCAAACCATCAAATCAAGAAATCCAAGAACCTTGCCATCCAGCACGCACAAGGAGGGGAGGAGGGGGGAGAGAGAGAGTGAGGTGGGTACCTCGGACTCGAGCCGCGAGATGTACGCAATGAGCGCCGCCTTGTCGCGGCGCTTGAGGGACTCCTCGTCGAAGCCGGCCTCCCGGAGCTTACTCCAGATCGCGTCGTCCCCCGCGGCTGCGCCACCACTTCCTCCTCCTCCTCCGCCTCCTCCTCCCACCCCACCTGCCGACCGCGGGCTCGCCATGGCTCCTGCCCGCCGGGAACCCTAGATCTCGACGGCACGATGCGGCGGCGGCGGCGGCGACCACCCGTCGTCACGCGCCCCTCGCGCGCAGCAGTGCTTTCTTCCCGTGCGAGTAGTGGAGGTCTCCCTCCTCGCCTCCTCTCTCTCTCTCCTCTCTCTCTCCCTTCTCTCGCACACCTCTCCTTTTCCCCTCGAGCTTTTTTTCTCTCTCTTCCTTTGGGCGGCTGCTCGTGTGTGCTGCGCGAGACGGAGGTTTTTTTTATTATTATTTTTTACTCGGCTTGGGATTCGGTGGAGGGAGAAGGGTTTGGTTTGATGGGTGGACACTGGACGAGGGACTGGGTGAGGTGTGGGACCGTGGAGTTCAGGGTGGACCGGGTTTATGGAGGTGGTGCTCTACCGTATTAGAGACTGATGATTATTGGCAAGATTCTTTCTTTCTTTGCTTTCGCTTTCCATTTGTACTCTAATTTTTAATTTGGAGATCGGGTTTGTTTTAGGCCGATTTGGCTGAGCTTCACCTTCAGCTCTACTCTACTTTTTATTAAGCTGAAACCAAACTAAACAAATTTAAATGCATGTGAAAAAAAATAAAAGAATGGACTGAAGTGCTCTCACAGAATAAATTTAAAAGGTATAGCAAATGTTCGGTTTGTTCTACAACTTCACTCCAAACTTAGGTTTTGGAGTTAAATTTAGACATTGGAGTCCCATCAAACGTGTCGTTTATTTGAAACAGAGACTTTAGCTTGCCATACATATTGCTTAAAAAAAACATTTGAATGACTTTTTTCACAAACAACCTTGAAATGTCAACTATTTGGCCTGCTGAACTATACAGACCTTTTCCTCTTAAAACTATATAGATAAAATAGTATAGTAAAAAAACATATATGGAGTACTACTTTTGACAAAAAAAAATTAAGGGTGTGTTTAGTTCGGAAAAAGAAAATTTTTTGGTGTCACATCGGACGTTTGACCGGATGTCGGAAGGGGTTTTCGGATACGAATGAAAAAACTAATTTCAGAACTCGCCGGGAAACCGCGAGACGAATCTTTTGAGCCTAATTAAGCCGTCATTAGCACATGTAGGTTACTGTAGCACTTATGGCTAATTACGGACTAATTATGCTCAAAAGATTCGTCTCGCTATTTCCCCTATAACTGTGCAATTAGTTTTTCTTTTTATTTATATTTAATACTTCATACATGTGTCCAAAGATTCGATGTGATGTTTTTGGGAAAAACTTTTTGATAACTAAACGGGCCCTAAGCAAGATGACAGTATGCTTTCCGTTGGCATAAGCCCGGGGCACACTGTAGGCTTGGTCCACGGAAGCATCCGAGGATTCGGAGATCTTTTCGGCAGTAAATAAAAAACAATTAACCAACGTCACCAGGTGTAACGCATACTAAGCATGACACGTAGGTCCAAATCCCTCGTGGCCCACACGTCAGTCTCCCCAGCTACTAATCGACACCGGCGGCCGGCTGCCTTTTGCGGCTGCCGCTGAAAAGCCGTAGCGACGCGACGAGCACCCCCGCACACGGAGACCATCGCCCATGACAGGTGGGGACAGGGGATTCGGGGGGCCCACATGGAAGCGGCACGGGAAAGGGGAGCGATCGTGACTCGTGAGGATCGGGGTTCAGTTGGGTGGGTTTCCGGCGTGGCGCCCAGCTCGTTTGAGCTGGTGATCGCGATGGCGGAAAAAGTGGATACGTTTGGATGAGGGGGATGAGGTCAGGTCTCTCAGTTCGGGAGTGGCGCCAGTGAGAACGCATCCGAGGTGGGTGGTGGGGTGGTCTGGTTTTTTATGTGGGCCCCACCAAACTTGTGCCCTTGACTTTGACGGCCACAGTGATAGCCACAGCTGTGGAAACTGGGAAACGGAGGGGTTTACAGTCACACTTACCACTAATGAATTTTTTAGCTTCCCAGTCTGTTGGCAGCAACAGTCCATGAACAACTGGTGAAAGCTTCTGCTCCTACCTTACCAACGGTGTACTAGTACTACTACTACTGCGACATCATGGCCAGCTTGGAGAACTCCAGCCGTCCAGCGAGCGAGGCACCAGCACTGGGTACATTATTGGTTAGACACGGGAAATGCAGCTGCGAAAATCAGCGTCTGGTTGGGAGTTGCAGCGCACGGCCGATCATCGTCACGAATGGTGCAGAAGAGTCCATGGGATGGGAGCGGCGCGCTGGAGGAGCGCCCCTCTTCTTGCACCGTAGTAGTCCGAGAGCCAGCCCGATATGATGCCCAGTTCTGATTCTCTCAGCCTAACAAGCCAATCCGGGTCGTCCTTGCTCGCGGGGCGCAGATCGATGTGATGAGCTCCTGCAAAGGCAAATCACAAAGCGGATTTACGATTCAATAACTCAAGATGATGCAAACCAGAGACTCAATGTGCTTGCTTACAAACTGCACCACATCAACGTGATTTAGTCAAGTACTTCTTCCGTTTCGCAATGTAAGTCATTCTAGCATTTCCCACATTCATATTGATGTTAATGACTTACATTGTGAAACGGAGGGAGTAGTATACTCAAGTATATTATTGATTCCATTATATCCCAGTATCCCACACACTTGAGTCTAGTACAGATTAACACCACCATTGATGAATGGAAGTGTAGGAAAACAGCATACCTAATGGAGCGATGATGGCCACAACACTCTCAGATATATTCTTCAGGACACTGTAATGTTCATTGTTCAGATAACGGCAAGATCATAACACGAAAATGGCTCGTGTAGGTGAGATCGTCATCAGAGGAAATAAAGCTCAAAAGGCAAGTGAAGTTTGTTTACCCTCCGCCACTCCAAGGATCCAGAAGCCCATTGAAGAATATGATATTACTACCAAATCTCTCCAGAACTAGACTAATATTCTGAACAAGAAAAAAAAAACAAGAAGTCATTAAACTCTCTCACATGTATATTTTGGCTGAAAAAAATATGAAGAATCAGTTGTATTGCAAGCAGAATAGTTTATGGAGTAGAACAGAATTTGAGCATTCCATAACATATCTAATAATAATACATTTTTTTCTTAGTTAAGAAAGTTTCCTATCGATGACAAATCATCTAGCAGAGCAAGTTGTTAAAAACAAATGTATATGCTTTATGAAAACCTTGAGATTTTGATACTATAACTCACATGCCCACCAAACTCTGTAGTAATCCATTGAGGCCTTGGTTCAACACCAAAGCTGTTGATGCAATCCTTCTCATATGAAGTGTAGTTGAATTTATCTGCTGGAAACATACTATCTTCACTGTATGACATTGGCATAACCATCTCGGTACAAGCCTGTTTTAAGCAATAATGGCAGATATGTCATATCAGATAACTCAAGTACCTTAACATATACTCCCTCTGTCCCAAAATATAAATGTTTTTTTGCCCATTTAGAGGGAGTATCAAATATATCCAATGGATAGAAACAGCATAAAGTTTTAGTTGCAAGACCTGCCAGTCCCATCCATCCATTCCATGCGGATCATCATTTAGATCAAAGCAGTCAACAGTACCAGTGTAGTTGTAGTATACATTTACTCCTGCATATATGCGCTCCAGAATACTGGTTCCATCAGGTTGATTGTCAATTTTTGTACACAACTGAAAGAGAAACCAGATAACCTAGTAAGTAGGGAGTAGTGATGACATGCAGAAAATAGAACATGGTAAGCAGGTAAGGCTTCAGAATGTTGCAGCACACTAAATTATCATTCTGATATAGTGATACTCTAGATTATCTTCTTTGTTGGGTCTTGAGAACACAAACTAAATAATGGTTGATGAATGTTAGCAAATTAAATTTTATCACAAAAAGGAACTAACTTCCTTTATTGGATTGCCAGGCAAAGGCATCATAAAATCTGCTGGCATTGGGTAATCCACCATGGCCAGGTAACTGTACGCTGAGCTCAACCAATCTGAAAGTTCCCCAGTGTTTTTTATAGTCCTGCAAAACATTTTTTATACATATATGATTACCGATTAATAAAGCTCAATGTAAAAAAGATGTAGTGAATAGAAAAATTACTCACTTGCATAGATGGAAAGTTTTGCTTAGTTTCAGCAGACCATCTTGCCCATTTCCTTGAGCATCCAGTGCTTTCCAAGAGTCCTTTATTGTTTGAAAGCAGCTTAAACTTTCCCTCTAAAACACAGTGAATAAGTGTCATCTGTCATGTCACTCACGTATATTGAGAATAATAAGGAAACAGGAAATGTTGCAAAATAAACACCTTGAAATCATTTGACACGAGATCGTAGAATATGGTAGAAGGGACAACGTCTTCAAATTGAAGGATTGGAGCTGATGACGCGAGAGCCCCAACAGCAATATGTGGGTATTTAAGTCTCATCCAAGCAGCGAGCACTGCAGCAATCATACATTCAATGGTGTCAGTACAGAAATACAGATTGAAGCTGGAGCCCAACAGACCACCAAGCCACATTCAAGAAGACCCTACGGAATACAGATTTTGCACAGGCAAGGCTATCCAGTTAAAGAGAAGCCTTACTTCCACCGTATGAGCCCCCGAAGAGCACGACAGGGCTGCCTTCTGATGACAAGTTCTTCTTGAGGTCAGTGAGCAGTACAGCATAATCAGCAAGCGCTTGCTCGGCTGTGAGATACGCCAAGGACTTGGAATTGTTGTAAGCTTTATCCTTGCTGCCGAATGGCATCGACTCCCCGTAGTACCGATGCTGCAGAGAACAAGTAAACGGGATCGGATCTCGCACGATCAGCGCACACCCAAGGAAGAACACACTGACTGGTGCAAGGTGAGAGGATAAATTTGCCTCGGCGAAGACGACGAGAGCGGCGAAGCGCGTGGCGGCCTCCCACACGAGGCCCGAGTTGGCGGCGAACCAGGCGATGTCCCCCTCGTTGCCGCAGTAGAAGAAGATGGGCCCGCCGGCGCCGGCCCACCCGCCGCCGCGGCCGACCAGGTACCGCTGCTGGAAGAACCCATCCCCCTCCTCCCCCTCCTCCTCCAGGAAGCTGAAGTGGTCCAGCCGCTGCCGGAAGTAGCGCGTCTCGTAGTCGTACCCTCTCACCGCTTCCTCGGCCCCCACCACCCCACGCCGCGGCCGCGCGTGCGGCACCGGGAAGCGGGGCGGCGCCCTCGCCAGGGCCGACGCGGCGGCGGCGAGGATTAGGAGGAGGAGAGGGAGCGGACGCATGGCCGCTTTGCCGCCGGCGTGGTGGGGAGGAGCAGTGGACAGCGGTGAGCTCGTTCTCGTCGGAGGTGGCGGCGTGCGTGCCGGCGCGGACGGAAGGGGAGCTTTATGACGTGATCGTGACGTGGGGGCGGCTCACGCAGTCCACTTGTCCACTCACTAGATGGCGCGGGTGACACGTGATCTTTCAAGGTGGGCCCCGTTGATTTTGTGTATGGGCTCGTTGAGGCCGGCCCATCAAGAACTTGTTCCTGGACCGTGTCCGTCCTGGCCTCCTGTGCTCCGTGTACATATATGCCAACAATACGGGAAACGACCGGGTTTTTCCTGCAGAGATAGATAGATCGATCGATCGATCATGGCCAGAGAGGGAGGACGAGACGACGGTGATGACACCGGCGCCGCCTCTACCTCGCCCAACAGCGTCGCAAATCAGTCGTCGTCGTCGTCGTCGTCGTCGGAGCCGGAGCCGGTGCCTTTCCCGGTTCACCGCTTGGCGCGCTACTCCAAGTCGATCGACAAGGCGATCAGGGAGTCGGTCCTCATCAACCTGCTGTCCTGGAGCCTCGAGCAGCGGATGCTGTCGCCCGAGGCGGCGGCGCATGCCACCGCCGACGGGCTCGTGGGCGTGGTCCGGTGCCACGCCGTGGACTCCGGCGTCACCTTCTACGGGATGGAGGGGATCGGCAGGAGCTTCGAGGAGGAGCTCCTCAAGTCCTTCGACAGGCAGCTCATCGCCTTCCGCGGCGGCCTCCCCAGCAGGGGGGAGAAGGTGCCCGTCTCCGCGGGCGAGGCGGCGCGGATCCGCGCGCTCCACGCCGCGTTCGTGGAACGGGACGCGGAGCTGTGGACCCTGGCCCACGTCACCCTGGCCGAGGACCTCGCGGCGTCGCGCGGCGGGGACGCGTCGGCCGCCTCCATCCCGCGCATGGTGGAGCGCCTCCGCCAGGTGCGGCGCCTCTTCGAGGCGGTGCTCATCCCGTTGAGATCGCTCAAGTCTATTTTCGATGACCTCCTCAGTAGTAGCAGATCACCACCAGCAGATGCTGACGTGCTGGGCGGCGCCACCTGTGACACGCCTGTTTCTAACGCAGGTTCTTGTGTGCCCAATGTCTGATGCGTCTGTTCATATGCCAAAGTTAACCATATGAGGCTTTCAGTTGAACCTGAGCATGTAAGTTTGCTATTTAAAGCTAAACTTTAGTTATAGTTTTTGTCTTTGAGGTGAATTGGACCTCAAGTTTAGTTCTAATTTTCAATTCTAGGAAATTTTAGTTCTAATTTTCAGTTAAGCCAAGAGCTTTCGTAGCTCAGTTGGTTAGAGCACCCGTTTAGTAAGCGGGAGGTCTTGAGTTCGACTCTCAACGAAAGCAATTTGAGTTTGTTTTATGAGTAAATTTCATAAAACTACATGTTTTGTGGTCTAAGTTGCAAAAAAATCACATACATTTTGACACTTAGCATTTAATTATATATATTTTGGTCGTGTAGTTTCACAAAACCAAACTATCGATGAATGGATTCACTCGTGAGATGATATAGTTGTTTCACATAGGACGAGGACATGGTATCTTATTACCAGCCATCACACAAAATTAACAGGATGCCACGTCCCCATCCTAGATGGAACAACCACGTCATCTCACGGATGAATCCATTCATCGATAGTGTGGTTTTGTGAAATTAAACTACCAAAATATATGTACTTAAGTGTCAAGTGTCAAACTGTGTGTGGTTTTCTGCAACTTGAACCATAAACTCATGTAGTTTCGTGAAATTTACTCTTGTTTTATTTTATCTGTGTGCTTAGGTAGAATCTCAAGAAATAACTAATTTAAAGGATGAAAGTCACGGTGTGTCACAAATGGTCCCATGGTCTAGCGGTTAGGACATTGGACTCTGAATCCAGCAACCCGAGTTCAAATCTCGGTGGGACCTTTTTTTTCTCGTAAATTTTTGCTTGCTGCTGTAGTCTTTGCGTGTGCCACCGAATTAAAGAAGTACGAATTCCAAAAATATCAAAACATGTTACGATATAAAACGGATGGAGCAGTAATTGTGTTCTTTTATGTTTGGAATTCCAAACTTACTGCATAACCATGAGGCCATTTCATAGAAGCGTTGTACTACTAACTGGGCTGCGTTCGGCAGACCAGGTTCCAACTCTTCCTCCTCGTTTTCCACGCGCACGTTTTTCAAATTAATAAACGTTACTTTTTAAAAAAAAATTTCTATACAAAAGTTGCTTAAAAAATCAAATTAATCCATTTTTATAAAAAAAATTAATAATTAATTAATTAAATCACACGCTAATCGCTGCTCCGTTTTGCGTGCCGGGGAGTGAGGGCTCCCAAACCTCACTCCCGAACGCAGTCTAAACTGTGAAAGGTGAAGCACTGAGTATTTGATGTCAAATCTCAATCATATAGAAATATAATTCTAATTATTTTAAAAAGGAAAAAAAATCCATTTTAAGTCACTGAACTTTCATAAAATCTGCTCCTACTCTTCATATCAGACGATGTTCATACTACAATATTTCAAATCATTTACCTTACACCCCTCATCCATAACTAGAACTAGATTGTTTAAAGCTTACAGGGTGCTTATCTAGCATTATAGTAAAAAAAAAGTGTGAAGTGCACGGGCGGTACTTAAATTTGAACGGATGTGTCATCTATGTCCCTAAACTCTCGAAATGTAATTTTAGATCCTCGATCTTGTCATGTGTATCACATAGGTCCAAACATACTCCAACCCGCTCCTTAAGATGACATGGCATGCCACGGTGACTCCTACGTATCAATAGAACCCATACGTCAGTCGCGTATAGAAAAATTAAGAACATATATTTTCTCCTCTCTTTTTCATTTTACTTTTTAAATTAAAAACATCATTTTCTCCTCTCTCTCTCTCTCTCTCTCACTCTCATCCCTTTTAAATTTTTCTTTTTTCTGTGTGAGTGACATGTGGATCCCACCGCCACGTAGGAGTAACCGTGGCATGCCACGTCAGCACACGGAGCAGGTTGGAACCCGTTTAGATATATATGACACCTGAGACAAGTTAAGGGATCCAAAATGCATTTTGAGAATTCAGGAATTTAGGTAACACACCCGCACAAGTTTAGAGACTTTTCGTGCACTTTACTAAAAAAGGAAGTAAGATCCACATTGATTCTCTCCTTCCTTACCTTTCGTCCTCATCATTCTCTGCTTGGCAAATGTTTCATATAGCTTGATGCCCCCTCCCTGTATGATCTCAATAAGGGCACTCACAGTGCAAGCACCTATTGTGAGGTACCACAAGGTGACACCTAGGGTGGAGAGCTTCAAAGACACTCTCTCCACAATGCAAGCACCGCTAGTGGGACACACATATACTACTTTACCAAATCCCCAACTCCCTCAATCATTACGCCCGCCTCCTCCTCTCTCACTCACCACGTCGGCTCTCCCTTGCTCCCTCCAGCAGCGCCGGCTCCCCTCCTCCTCCGCCGGCGCGGCTCTCCTCTCCTCCGGTCCGAGCCGAGCTCTCCCCTCCTCCCTCCCCTTCCCCACGCGGGGGCCGTCCCTGCTTCGAGCGGTGGAGGGCGACGACGACACCACAGATCCAACTCGCCGGGGGTCCTCATCTCCCGACCGATGGATGTGTATCTTGAGCGACGAGATCGATGCCACCCTCGACAGGGCTGTCAGATTTGGCCTGGCGCTAGGAGGAGAGGGCGGAGGTGGATCTCGGCGGCCGAGCGACGACGGTGTCGTCGGGGCCAAGCGGCGACGATGGCCTCGGGGCGAGCGGCGGAGGCAACGGCGCTCTTGAAGGTGCCGCGACTGCTGGTGGGGCTGGCGGCGGCGGCGAGGCCTTGCCGGCTTGTCACGCCCAGAAATTTAGCCCAAATTTCCAGACTATTTTGTGTATTAAATCCCTGTCCAGGACCAGCCAGGGTACACAAAACGACAAGTAATATACAGTTCCAAACGTAAATAAAGCGTAAAATACTTACAGAAAAGGCACTTAGTCCTCACACCGAAACAAAAACAGCAGCAGCGGAAAAAGGCGATCCTAGCGGGGCTTCAGCTCCACTCCACAGGCAAAACTCAACTGGGGTCTGAGCCTTGGTCTTCTAACTTCGTCTTCAGCTCAGAAGCACTACACTTCTGAAAAGGGGGAATAATAGCAAGGCTGAGTACAACCACCGTACTCAGCAAGCCACACCAATGATGCAGACGTGCAAGGGGATACAAGGATGGTTTGTGGCTATTTGCATAAAGGCGGTTGTAAAACATTTTATTGAGCAAAACAGTAAAACTGTTGAGTAATTAAAGTAACATTAAAATCTCCACTGATCAACGCTACACCACGTTGAACAGGCCCAACCAACCCACCTGGACTACAGTGCATTGGGTCGATTTATTAAGGTGGGACTAATCACGGTGAATCTGGTCGATCGCCCATAACCGCGGGCACGGCTATTCGAATAGTTTTACTCTGGCCAGAGGTGCACAACTGTACCCACAAGACACAACCCACCGACATGTCACCGTGTCATCATGTGCCCATGATGCACACGTCACCATGTCGAGTGATTGTGACGAGACCCTTCGCATAACCCTCCCCTAACCATCCACACCACGCTAAGGTTTCACCCCCACCCCTCAAAAGGCAGTGGGCGGTCCCCTCTTGCGCCGCGGTGAATCCGGCAGCTGGACAACCGGACACCCCGGCCGACCCAACTCCATCACGCCCACCCTCGCCACCGGTGCCTAGGAAAGGGTCGAGCTATACTTCAGATCAAGCAGTTACCCATTCCCGCTTGTGGCAAGCGCTGTAAGTCTTCCAGGGTTTCCCGTGAACCGGTCCTTAATTGCCATGGGTGCGACTCACAAAAACCATGCACCCACAGCCCACCATTCAGTCGCATTTTAGTTGGATAATTACGACCATGAAACATGGCCAGGTGTTTCGAGCACGCAGCTCAACAAGATACTAGAAAGGTCTAAAACTGTAATTATCCCATCGACTGAGCTAGTGGTAATTAAGCATGGCTAAGCATATAGTTCTAGCTAGGTCACATAAGTAACACAAGCTAGTCGATTTATCACCCAAGGTTGACAAAGGACAGATATCAAGTAAACATGGCACAAGCGAGCAGATAGGTAAACCCTGATCCCATGTAATTAGCAAAACATGCATATTTATTTGTAAACGGTAAAACATTTATAAATTGGGATCAACATGCTCAAGGGGAATGTGTGACTTGCCTTGCTTCTTCACTTTGATCTTCCGAACTCTTTTCCTCGCGACCGCGGACTTCCGAAACGACGGAAACTACACGCTGGCACGCAAAACGAGGAAAAACTCTAATAAAAACCAAGAAAACAGTACATAAAAACTAAACAAACATGTAGAGCTCAATTTTAGATGAATTTTGCAAGTTGAATGGCTCAATTCGGAGTTCGAATGAATTAGATATGAATTTTAGAAGTTTTGAGCCATTTAAATGAATTTCTATAATTATTATCGAATTATTGCGCAATTATTAATTATTTTCTCAAAGGAAAAGCTTAAGCGCTGACGTCATCAAAGAGGCCGGCGCCGACAGGCGGGCCCCACACGTCAGCGGGTCAAGGGTATCGGTCCACCGTGGACCGAGACCACCGAGGCGGCCCACCATTCAGTCCACGGGAACCGACGGCCCGGATCGGCCCAAAGCCGATCGGACGGCCACGAGGCGGCGCGGCTGGGGCACGGGCGCGGCATGAAACCGGCTCGGCCGAGCGATAGCGCGCGGCGGCGTACGGCCAGACGACCGCCGGCGACAGCGGCGCATCGCGGCAGCGGGCACGGGGAGCGGCGGAGGAGGAAAAAAAAGGAGAAGGGACGGTGGGGATTCTCACCGAGGACGGCGACGGCGAGACGACCACAGGGAGGCGGCTGGCGGCGGAAAGAGATGGTGGCGGCCGACACGGGAGGCGACGGGAACGGCGGTCCGACGACGCCCGACCATGGCGGAGCCGCGGCCGAGGGCCGGCAAGACCTAGGGAAAATATTGGAGCGGTTAGGGAGAGAAATAGGCGACCGGAGCGGCGAGAATACCACGCCAGAGAGGAGAGGAATGGTGGGGCTCACCGGCGACCGAGAGATACCCCGTTCCGGTGGGTTTCCGGCGAAGAGGGGCGGCGGCCAAGGTCCTCCTCGTCCTTGCGGAGCTGAGGGAGGCAACGGCGCGAGTCGACGTCGACCGAAGCGGCGGCGCGACGCGGCTGGAGGCGGTGAAAGGGGCGGCGGCCTCGGGTGTGCGGTGGGAGTGGTGCTCGAGGGGTGGAGAGGGGGAAATAAGAGGCGGCCGGACTTCCCCTTGCGGTGGCGAAGCTGGCGGTGGCGGTGGCTCGGCGCGGCGACGGCTGTGGCGGCGGGAAACGGCGACCGAAGCTCGCCGGAGTGTGGCAGCGCGTGGGTGCGGCGTGGGGAGAGCGAGGGAGAGTATGCCGGGCTCGGGAAAAATGGGGAAACGGACAAGGGGAGCACGGGGATTGATTTTATAGCTCAAAGGGGCGAGGAGAGGGCCGGGGAGCGGCGGATTTCGAGGGGAAGTGGGGCGGCGTCGTGGGGGAAGAGAGAGACGCGGGAGGCGGCGACGTGGCCGGATTTTGCGGGGAGAGTGGGGGGAAACGGCGCGGACGTGGGCGGCGAGGTCCCACGGACAAACGCGCGCGCGCGGGGTGGAGGAGGTGGGCGGAAACGGCGGCGACGTGGGCGGTTTTCGGCGGCCATGGCGGCAACGGCAGCTGCCGGCCTGAGGTTGGGGATGACCCCGACAGGTGGGGCCCACCTGTCGGCGGCTCGGGGAGAGGAGGGAGGATGAGGGAGGCGAAGCGGACTTGCGCGAGGAGGGGGCAAGCCGGGCCGACGGCCCAAAGAGAAGGGAGGAGGGGAAAAGGAGGGCGGCCGGGCCCGAGAGGGAGAGAAAGGAGGGGTTGGGCCGAAAGGGGCCCAAAGAGAGGAGAGAGGATTTTAATTTCTTTTCTTTTTATTTTAATTGATTCGATGAACTTTGTGCCATTAAAACTATTTCTCGAGCTCCGAAAATTCACGGAAAATTCCGGAGAGTACATTAGGGCACAAAGAATATTACAAAATATTCCCGGCCATTGATTTTTAAGGGAAAATTTTAATTCTCCCAATAATTCACTTGATTAAATTGCTTAACTTTTTATTTAATTTCTAGGAAATGCATTATTAAATGATTTTTAATCCCGAACGAAAATCGGGGCGTTACACGGCTCCCCTCTCACCTCACCTCTCCCGACGAGCGGCGGCAAAGGCGGAGAAAGAGGAGGCGAGGTCACGCCGAATCGAAGCAATGACCTCCGCAGTGCAAGATTCCTTCCCCCACACGCCCTCATTTCGGCGAGAAAACGTGTCTCCCACCTAGGGTCTCAGTGCTACGTACGCTAGAATCCAAGCTGGCGCGGTAGGAAACTCCTCCACGTACGAACACTGTGAAGGGCCTAAGCTGTCTCTATGTGGCTTGCCTTGCGCGAGCCTAGTCATCCAAGCGCTTTATTCTGCCATTGCCTTAACCTCATTTTTTATGGTCTCGCATGGAGATCACCTGTTGCACCTCTGTTCAACGGTCTAACCTCTTGAAGCACGAGCTCAGACATCGCACGGGCCTTGCCTTCTATTGCTCCATGCAATGGGCGACCCTCACGTGTGAGAGCTTGCTTGGTTGTCATCGCTCAACTAGTTCCACCCAAAGACGTACTTCCTCCTCCGTTTCACAATGTAAGTCATTCTATCATTTTCCGTATTCATATTCTAGATTTATTAACATCAATATGAATACGGAAAATGCTAGAATGACTTACATTGTGAAACGAAGGGAGTATCTCTCTATTGAAGTAACCATACTTCATGAAATCTTGACAAGGCAATTATTTACGTGAGTTTCACTGTGAGATGTAATTGCTTGTATGTGGAACAGGTGCGGAGACAAGCCTAGAACAGCTTAGGCTTGAGTTCTAGGATTGCCTCAATATTCATGTTTAAATCCCTTTTAAATCACCATTTAAGAAAACCAAATATCTTATCAGCTAAGTCCTACTTGAGCCATAGGCTTAGAAATTTTCTAACTTCGTCATAGTGTGGAACGACACATCATGAAGATTAGAGATACAATGTTTGATTCAATTACTTTTTGTTACCTACGCGTATGGCTGAATAAAAAGAATAATATGAGAAAACGCAAGCAAGTTGATTTTGCAACACGATTATGTTGTCTTCTTTTCCCTATTTTTACATTTTCATGTAGTGACTTATTAATGTGTATCAAGTTATGTTGTTGGCTTGGCACGACTATCCTTGTCGTGACCACACCTTCGTGAGCTCGTTGTTGGCTTGGCACGACTATCCTTATCGTGGCCACACCTTCGTGAGCTCTGCCTTTATTAGTTTCGATATCTCGATTGATGGTTTGATGTTTGTTTAATTCTGTAAAGTTATCTAAATTATTGGAAAGTTTGGTTCGAAAAGTTTAGTGACGAGTTTTAAACTTTTATGATTTCTTTTGGACGTAAAAAAAGAATTTTCTGAATTCTAAGAAATCCTTCAAGCGGCCGGCTTATCGCTTTATCGGGTCGTTTTTTTGGCGGTTAAATTATCTGGGTCTGTTCGCAAACCGACGGAGAAGCCGCTGCTGCAACCGCCCGGGCCCCGCGTCCACGCAATCGTTTGCTCGCCCTTGATTGGTTCGATACACGTTTTCCCCTCGTTTACTCGAAACGAACCCACGTGGCCGCGCTCTAGAGAGTTCCACGTAGCTCTAGGTGGGGCCCACGGACACGGGGGCCCACGGGTCATCCTCTCAAGAAAAACTTTATTTGGACCAATAAAATGAATTTCCCTCTTTTTCAATCTCTCCGCTTCCGCCGCGGTGTTCTTCCTCCTCTCGCAGGAGAAAATTTCGCTGGTTGAATCGGAGGGAGGCAGCAATGGCCGCTCGAGCTCGGTGGCGAATCCTCGCGCTGCCGCTCGCTCTTCTCCTAGCGGTCGGGTCGTCGCCTGGCCTCGTGAGGCAGGCGTCGTCGTCGGCGGCGGCCAAGCCTCCCGTCCCCAAGGCCATCTCGGTGAGTTACACGAAGAAATTTCTCCTCTTCCAACGCCCGATTGGCCGATTCGTCCTTGTCGCGGAACGATTCTGATATGTTAATGTAACGATGCGCGCGTGTGGCGGATCGATCGGTGCAGGACCTGAGGGAGGCGATCGTGAAGGGGCTGGGGTTCCAGTCGGAGGAGCTCAAGGTGTCCGGGTTCGACGTGCGCGACGCGCTCGTGGGGCAGGCGGTGGCGTACGAGTTCGACATCGAGGTCGGGAGGAAGGTGGTGCCGGTGCGCCTGCTCGAGGACGTCAACCGATGGGACTTCGTCGACCTGCCCATCTTCCGGTCCCAGGCCGACGCCGACGACACGGCGCTCGCCGAGATCCGGCGTGGCAAGAGCGGGAAGCGAGCCTTCGACCCGACCCTGCCACCGTTCCAGCTCGCCGGGCCCATGGAGCTCTGGATCCAGGACGGCGACGACGTTAGGCTCGCCTTGCCGGTAAGAGAATTTTTTTTTCTTCTCGTGCTTATGGTTAAAAGGATATTTTCATCGGAATGATTTTGTTGTTATTAAGTTGCATGCACCAACCAGTTCAACCCAAAAACTAATATTAGGGAAGATGGGCAATTCAGTTTATATTTCAAAGTACTGTTTGTGTTTAAAAACGATGAATTTTCCTTCAGCAATTTTTTTAAAAAAACATACAAAGTAGAATTAGGTATCAAAGCTAACAATACATCGTTCTACACCTCAAATGTGAAATGTGTCAACAGTTGGGAAAATAGAGATTGTAGAGCATAACTTCAGGTTTCTGATGTCATCTTGATAACAAGGCAAAGTTTCAGTTGCTGCTATAATTAAGCCACCTGACGTCTCATCTGATTGCAATTCAATTTAGTTCTATGAAATTATGGAAGTGAATTTTTGGATTACGTTGATAATTCGTCATCGTCATTTCGTCTGGCGTAATAGGCTCTGAAGTCTGAACTATTTGTGTGCTTGCAGACTTTGAATAACGAACACCAACTTTGTTCACGTATACAAAAGAATGATTTGAATTGAGCTTATGTGTTCATGTATTGTAAGATTTCATTCAGCAATGAATATGATGATTTTTGTCCTGGTGAGTTCAAGAGTCAGTGTTCTGCAAATCTGCGTTAGTATTCTTCATTGTGGATTCTACACCAGAATGGTTTTTCATTACAACATTAGTAGCTTCTTCATTGCGCGTTCTGCTCTGAAGTAATGTTGAGCAAATCTGTATGGAATATCCTACTCCTTTCACAGCAATGGAATGTCTCACATCTGGAGGTTCTGTGATTCCTAGTTAGCTGTAAATACTGTTTTGTGCTAGGCTTAAACTCTGAATATTTACAATATGTGTTTTTTTTTAGACTGGTCAACGGGGGGGGGGGGGGAGCTTTTCCACCTGAATTTTGATTTAAAGAGAGATCGAGTACATTAAGTCAGGGTACATTTGAACGGATGGGAGAAGATAGAATTTGTTTCCAGGATTCTACTACTATCCTGTCGGCACAGTTCAATCTTTCCGCCCAGAGAGTAGCATCCTCTATGCACTTTGTTGCTAAACGATTTAGAGGAGGAGATTCTCCTCTGAAAACTACATCACCGCGATGATTCCAGAGCCCCCAGAGACAGAGCAGGAAGAAGACCTTGAAGTGTGTACAATATGTGTTGTTTTATAATTCCTATCTCTTTAGAAACTTGACATTATTTTGCAAGGCATAGTTATTTCTAATAGTTGCCTCATAAGTTGGTGGTATAGACTTTTACGCATTTGCCATAATGCTAACACCATCTGCGGCCTGGGGTTCATTTAAGATTGGTCATTTGGTTGCCATTGCTGTATTTAACCATGGGAAGGTTCATCTAACCATTATGTTACACACATGCCTAACATTGCTTTACTGGGTGAATTACTTTATCTACTATGTATTTTAAATACAAAATGCTAATACTGTTCTCTTACTATGTATTTTAAATACAATATGCTAATACTGTTTTCTTTACAGCATGATGTGGAAGCAGGGACGCTGAAGAAAGTAGTGCTATCAGATGGTGCCGTGGTAACAGTGAAGGGTGCCAAGGCTGTGAGCCTCCGGTTGCCACTTGAATTACCGCTCCCTCTCAACCGCACCACTTACAAGGGCCGGTTGTCAAGCTTGATATCCATTGCGCAAACGCTACGGGGCGCCGCCCGGTCGAACCAGAAGCCGCTGCTCTCCCTCCGCATCGAAGGTCCGACGTCGTTGTCCTCGACTCCTTCCATGTCTCCCAATGACAGGCTCAAGCTCAAACGGTTGGCCCCAGGCCAAGTGGAGCTCTCCTCGCGTGCAATCCCTGCTGTTACAGACGATGATGGTGATGGATCACACGCAGCTGGATTGTGGCCCCTTCTGTCACTGAATGGGTCAGATGGCAGCCTGCAGGGGTTTGAGGAGTTGCTGGCCTCGGTTCTTGGAAAGAAGGCAGGTGAGAAGGGGACGTTCAAGCTGTTGAAGGCGCGAGCTTCTGCCCAAACGTACGTCAAGATGGGGTTTGCGGTGGAGAAGAGGATTGCTGACGGAGAGGTGAACTGGTCCAACTTCCCGGAGTGGAAGACGAAGCCCAAGAAGTTGAGGGCGCACTACGAGGTTCTTGCTCGTGTGGAGGGTGGCCAGGCGATCCCTGAAAGGATCGCGCAGGTGCAGCCTTTTGAGGCCGACGAGGCCATGTCCGAGAGCGTGCTCACCGGGAATGTGTCGATGTCGAAGACGGAGGTGGTTCATCCGCCGCCGGTTTACTTCACTCTTTGAGAGCAGTTGAAGCTCCGGTTTTAAGTGAGCTGATCACGGTAAATGACAAGCGGCGAAAGTTTCTTGGCGGCGAGTATTATTAACTGCATTAGCATGAAAAATTGTTGTACGGGGTATGTTATACTGGCCAGCTTTGTAAATTACCAAACTGAATAATGAATGAACGAACCATTACAGGAAAAGGATTCATCCATAGGCAATTGTATATCTTTTTGAAACCAAGAGTGCCAACTTTTCAGTTACTGCATCTTTTGTTTCATTTCAGTTAAACCGACGACGTCCTTGTCGCCGCTTTTGAAGTTCGCCGCCGGTGGCATATGTAGCGTATGCGGTGCGAATATTCTCCCAGGCTCCTGGAGGATTTGATTGGATAAGCCGCTCGTAAGGACACCGTGCCTCCAATTGTTTTAGGCTGCTATTTGTTGGGCGGTGCACCGTGCACGCGAGTACGGCGTCGCATGGTCGCGGCCCTAGTCGCGCGCTCGCACGTGGGCACGTGGCTAGGCTTGGCTTCGCTTCTACTACGGCCTCCCCTCCTCACCGACAGGCATGGCCCACACGTCAGGCGTGGCCGCCCGTCTGAACCTGGTTTTCATGGGCCGCCCGCTCGCACGCAGCGCGCAGCCACCGCCATCTGGGCCTAGGTTTTCCGGGAGAGCGCAGCGGCGGCGCGGAAGCAACGAAGCGACCGCTTGCGGGAAGGGCCGGAGCCGAGCCGGCCGCGCCGCCTCGCCCGACGTCGTAGCAACCAAGCCACCCCCGCTCCACGACGAGGAGGAGGAGGAGGGAGGAAGGATGGTGAGGAGAGGGCGGAAGGGCAAGGACGCGGCGGCTGGCGCCGGCGGCACCGGTGGCAGAGGCGGCGGTGCCGGCAGAGGAGGCGGCAGAGGAGGAAGCGGCGGCGGGGGCGGGGGAGGGGGTGTTCGGGAGGCGACGCTGGTGCGCGTCTCGAAAGTGCTCGAGGACTTCCAAGCCTCCGACGCCCAGGGTTCGCTCTCATTCGTTTGCCCAATTTCTCCATTCCATTCAATGGTGTCTGGTGTGATCTGTCATCGCGGTGTTCGAGCGAGTTGGGGATAGTGGCACGAATACGATACTTTGGGAGCTTGGTTTTGGTGAATTTGAGGCGATGGTTTGGGCCATGCGCGCGGCCATGCCCATTTTGTGTTCTCTCTTCTCTGTTGCATTTTTTATTAGTCCTCCTAATGTATGATTGACTAACTTTACTGGCCTTCTAGTGTACTGATCACTAACGTCACCAATGTTTGTAGCTTCACAGTTGATTCTGAGTTTGGTAACAAGGGAAGAGGAATACCGTCTACTTTATGTTTGACCATTGTATCTCACAATATGTGACATGGTATTTTCATGATTGTCAGTTTGTCGCTAGATAAGTTGGTCTGTTGACTGACTAGAAAGTATTTCTTAGGTTTTACTACAATGGCATCTAACCTGACAATTGCACTTGAATTGATTTGCAACAGTAATCCTAGGTGGCCACTAGACTGTTGTGTAAATATGCATGAGAATCAACTCTTTGGGCTGATATTAGTGGGTGCAATTAAGCTCCTGCATAAACCCCAACGAGGAGTCTCAAGCAAAACACTATTAGGATTCTGTTAGTTCAAAGTAGCACCCTTTTATTAGTTCTCTTCTCATAACAACCCTCCTCCCTCCTCCCAACAACAATGAAAAGACCACCCGCACACATGCTTGCACACTCTGATGGTGGCAATGTTTTCTTGTATATCTTCTTTTCACATTTTTTGTGCATCCCTTGCAGAGCCATTGCTTGCTACTCCTTCCATCCCAAAATATATCTACCTTTCTAATTCAAATTTAAACTAGAAAGGTAGCTATATTCTGGGACGGAGGGAGTAGGTCATAGCATGTGCTGTGCTGTGGTGTTTTTTCTTCCCTTGCGTTGTTTGCCTCGACTGAGTTTTAGCACATTACTGCCCCATTATGGTCCTGCATGGTAGATGGCATGTTTAGGTTTCTTTTGGTATGTGGGGAACTTTTCCTGTTATTCTTGTGAAATTCCTGGATTCCAAACAGGCTCCTATATCAATTCCTCCACTACTTGTCTCTTTCTTTACTTTTTAATGAAACACACATGTTTTCTCTGTTATGCTGTCAGCTGAAAAAGTCACGTATCTACAAAATTTTACTTTGCAGTGTACAAATTTGAACCTGGCATATCGAAACAAGAGCGAGCGGCGATACATGAGATGTGTAGAAAAATGGGCATGATATCCAAAAGTTCTGGGTGAGTGATAGTCTAATTGACCTCTGGAATGATGCATTCCGTACACTGGTTCTAGTAAAGAGTAATAAGCATCTTTTAAACTTCATTCATCATAGCGACTGTTATCTTAGTAGGATTAAACTATGTGTATCTGATGTTTTCTGAAATCTATTAATTAACTATAGGAATGGGGAACGACGATGCCTATCTGTTTACAAAAGAAAACAGAACCAGGGCCTTGAAACAGAAGAAGGACCTAGCCATCTTGGATTTTCTGTGGAAGCGAGAAATGTTTTGCAAGATCTATTTATGCATTATCCCCCAGATGATGCGGAGCTAAATGGGCATACTGTCAGGAATTCTAGTGATAAGGCTGTAAAGATTCAGTGGAAGCCAGATGGTGCATTTTGTAGGCCAGCATTGCGCAAACCGGATATATTGAAGAAGGTGGAGATGCTTGCATCGAAAGTAAATAAATCCGAACAGTTGAGGAAGGTTGTATATTCTGGCAATCTGGCTTGATATGGTGTCCTTTTTGCCATTCAGTTTAGCCAATTCCTACTTTTATATATGTTATATTGGATAGTTTTATCTAATTGAACTTAGTGTTGTACATTTATACAGATTGTCCAAGATAGATCTAAACTTCCAATTTCCTCATACAAGGATGCAATTTCTTCGACTTTAGAGAATCACCAGGTATTGTTCTTTGTGTTTTTATGGAAATAAAGTTGCTTCACTCGAGCTTCATCCTGATGCATACATCAAAGGTGGTGCTGGTTGTCTTTTCTGTTGGTGGCGGGGCTAATAGCAAGACATTCTATATATTACCTTGTAATACTTCAAGACAAATCAAGAAATTACTATTATTTTCTTGTTTAGTAGTTTCAATTCTTGGTAGGCTTGACTGCTTTCCAATAATGGGTGGATGCCTCTTCAGGAAAATGCTTATCACTTTCCTGAACCTAGCTATTTATTTTGATCCATGCTTATCTTTGACATTTGCCAACTTCCAGAATGAACATTTCCTTTAACATGACCTGATAACAATTTGACCTTCATCCCTGTCAGGTGGTTCTTATTTCTGGAGAAACAGGATGTGGTAAAACAACACAGGTGCCAGTTCTTTTGACTTTTGTTTTGCTCTGTTTTGACCATGAAACAACTATTGTATGTAATTAACTTCACTGTGACATTTCCTGCAATAAATTCAGATGTATCTTCTCATTCTGTTACTCTGTGTTGATTAATTGATCCAATCTATGCCTATTTTCTGCTATTTTGATATTTTACTTTGTGTTTGTTGTTATCGTGTTATATGTATTAAAACATCCTGATTTGTGAGAAATTTCACAAAATCGATAGTCAAATGTACTTCTTGTTTTAGTGCCCATGGAATGATGTGGACACCTTTCTTTTTCTTAAATTATGATTTCCTTGGAATGATATTCTGCTTATCTGGCTCACTCATCGTACCATTCTTTTTTTAGGTTCCTCAATATATCTTGGATCATATGTGGGGTAAGGGTGAATCATGTAAGATTGTATGCACTCAACCAAGGCGAATATCAGCTATCTCAGGTAATTCTGTCAAATGACTTCTCTTTCATTGCTATTGTTTTTGTTTAAGCAGCTGAGAGTCAAATGACTCATGTACACAGTTGCTGAGAGAATCTCTGCGGAAAGAGGAGAGTCTGTGGGTGACACAGTTGGGTATAAGGTATGCCAAATTTTAGAATTTTCTATTATGCATTTCTGGACTGAAATTGTACTTATTATTCATCTGTTTGAAAATGACACCCAAAAAATGTTATCTTTTTTTTTTTTGAAAAAGAATGTTTTTTTACGAAACTTTGCCCGTAAATTTATTGTGTAGTTTATCCGTACAGTGACATGTCTATGATAACACTAAAATACTTGTAGATATGAATTTGCCTTGGTTATTTTGTGCAAACAAACTTTGCATTGTTTGAGAATTTCTTGGTAGAAATTGACAAAGTTTACTCAAGAAACAGTATCAGTATCTTGTATTTTGAAACGAGTAAACACCAGTTTTGTTATTTCGCTTGACAAAGTTGAGAAAGTTTGTAATTTGGACTATGTTCTTAACTTCAATTTTCGTCCTTAATGTTCATATATTTGTCATCTATGACATGTTTGCACTTGTGCACATAATGTGGATATGTACCTCTGTCTTATTCCGCTGTTTATTTCAATTGCAGATACGCTTGGAGTCAAAAGGAGGGAAGAACTCATCAATCATGTTCTGCACAAATGGTGTTCTTTTGAGGCTATTGATAGGCAGGGTAACTAATATTTCAAAAGAACAAAATCAGAAACGCTCATTTGATGATGCAGTTACTGGGATAACACATATTATTGTGGTAATGTTTAATCTTAGAACTTTCAAATAGCTTGATTGCAAATTATTGTATTCTGAACTGCACATACTTTACACTCCTTATTTTGCACCAACACTGCATCCATGCTATTAGTACCAACAAGTAGTTAAATATGATGCTTTTTGTACAAGGGGGGAAGGAGATATTTAATCAACCACTGGGTTTGTATGACACTAGACTTGTTGCAGAAACTTAACTCTAATGCTCTAAGTAGATCTATGACAACCAGAAATTATTTTCCCGTCTAGTGTGAAATTATTTCTTTAATATTATAACTGTACTTGCATTTCTTTTGTAGTTTGATACAGCGTATTGCAGAAAACATTTACCAACTGTTCCTTTGTAATTCTGAGAGGGCAGAGCATTTGGTGAGCATTAATTGCAAAATGGTTATGTCAGTGCTTACCTATTCAAATCTTGTTATTTGTTTAGTACTATCTTAGCACCCCTTAGCATTGTCCATTGAATATTGTTGTCATTGTTGAACTGGGGCAAGTCATGCATCAATTAGATGTAAGAGGTATTGTGCAACTTAGTTTATAACTCTATTGCAAAAATAACTGGAATGGAAATTTATGATTATTTGTTATTGAGCTTCTAATAGCATACTGTCTTTTGGTGAAATACAATGTTTTTTTTAATCTTGGAAAGCTTCATATATTATTGTGCTTCAGAACTGGAGCCTTATACAAGGCACTTCCTTACTGAATTGATTTTCAATGGCATATACTGCCAGTATATATTTTATTGGTAATATGAGTTGGCACTCTCCTTTTCTCTTTAGGATGAAATCCATGAAAGGGACAGGTTTTCAGATTTCATGTTGGCTATTCTAAGGTATTATGCTAAAAGCTGTTTCGTCCACATGTTGCTTAGATTGTGTTTTTAGTGCTTTAACGATCTTTTGCCAAACAATTATGTAGAGATTTGCTGCCGTTGTATCCTCATCTGCGTTTGGTAAGAAGATTTTTCCTTCTAGTTTAAGGCTCTATAGTAATAACTACACACAATCATGCATCCTCTATCATGTATCCAAAAGATTAGGGTACGGCTTTACAAAATCCTCTACCAGATAACTGTGCAAAAGACAAAAGTTAGTCCACATCTTTTGTTAGTTTGTCTCTGTTGTTATTTTTGCACAGTACACATATGATCATGATTTTGCACAAATTTTGCAATTGCACTCGTGGCATGGTGCTTTACATCTACGAACATTTTGTTCCTTTTTCAAGTTCACAAGACAAAATAGGTTCATATACCCCAAGGAACACAGAATCCATATTTCCATTCCATATTTGAAGCACAGAATTTCTTCTGAGTGTATCCGCTTTCCGTTACATGAGTATTAACTAGTTTAATGAGCAGGTACTCATGAGTGCAACGATTGATGCTGAGCGGTTCTCAAATTATTTCAGTGGATGCCCATTTATTCAAGTCCCAGGGTTTACCCATCCTGTTAGTAACACACTAATTTACATTTTGTTAAGAAAGATATTGAAGTAATTGATGGCAACATTGGCTCTTTTTTCTCAGGTCAAAACTTTCTATTTGGAGGATGTGCTTTCTATTTTGCAATCTGTAGGCGATAATCATCTTGATCCTACAACAGATGATCTGAAACAGAGCAGTTTGTTAACAGATGATTACAAAAGCTCAATGGATGAAGCCATTAACCTAGCTTTGGATAATGATGAATTTGATCCTCTTCTTGAGCTTATTTCTGCTGAGCAGAACCAAGAAATTTTCAATTACCAGCACTCAGAAACTGGTGTGACACCTTTGATGGTTCTTGCTGGAAAAGGTCAGGTTGGGGACATTTGCATGCTTCTATCATTTGGGGTGGATTGTTCTACACGGGATCATGATGGAAAATCTGCATTAGGTTGGGCAGAACAAGGGAATCAGCAAGAGGTTTGCGAAGTTATTAAGAAACATATGGAATGTGGTTCAGCAAAGTTAACTGAAGAGAATGAGCTGCTCAATAAATACTTGGCAACCATCAATCCTGAGCACATCGATACTGTGCTAATAGAACGGTTGCTCAGAAAAATTTGTGTTGATTCCAATGAAGGAGCTATCTTGGTGTTTCTTCCTGGGTGGGAAGATATAAATCAAACACGGGAAAGGTTGCTTGCTTCTCCCTTCTTTCAGGATTCGTCAAAGTTTCTTGTGTTGTCACTCCATTCCATGATCCCATCTTCGGAGCAGAAAAAAGTTTTCAAGCGTCCACCAGCAGGATCTCGTAAAATAATTCTCTCAACCAACATAGCAGAGACTGCTGTGACAATTGATGACGTCGTATTTGTCATAGATAGTGGGAGAATGAAAGAGAAAAGTTATGATCCATATAATAATGTCTCAACACTTCATTCTTCCTGGGTTTCAAAAGCTAATGCCAGACAACGTCAAGGGCGTGCGGGTCGTTGTCAGCCAGGAACGTGCTACCATCTCTACTCTAGATTTCGAGCAGCCTCATTACTGGAATACCAAATCCCTGAAATAAAGAGGATGCCTATTGAGGAACTATGTTTACAGGTATATTCCTAGCTAACCTTTGTAGATTTGTTTCCTCCAATAACTCTTGAAATCAATACTTCTGCAATATTATGGTTCGCTGCAATAAGAATGACATTTATTTACTGATAGCTGTTAAATGTTTCAATCTGTATTATGCAGGTCAAACTGCTTGATCCGAACTGCAGAATTGCAGACTTTTTAAGGAAAACTTTGGACCCTCCAATTCCAGAAACTGTAAGAAATGCTATCACCGTACTTCAGGATCTTGGTGCTTTGACTCAAGATGAACAACTGACAGAGTTAGGGGAAAAGTTGGGCTCCCTTCCGGTCCATCCATCTACAAGCAAGATGCTCTTGTTTGGTATATTAATGAATTGCCTAGATCCGGCGTTGACATTGGCATGTGCAGCAGATTATAGAGATCCTTTCCTCCTTCCAATGGCTCCAGATGAGAGGAAAAGGGCTGCTGCAGCCAAAGTTGAGCTTGCTTCATTGTATGGTGGATACAGTGATCAGCTTGCAGTTGTAGCAGCAATGGACTGTTGGAGACGTGCCAAAGATAGGGGCCAAGAAGCTCAATTTTGTTCTAAGTATTTTGTGTCTTCTAACACCATGAATATGCTTTCAAACATGAGGAAACAGCTTCAGAATGAACTAGCCCAAAGAGGATTTGTTCCTGTAGATGCATCTGCATGCAGCTTAAATGCTAGAGATCCAGGTACTTTTCTAGAAAAAATTGAGTTCTGAAACATATTCTTTGTTCATGTGATTTCTTTTGTTTGTTTCCACTTTGCTTTGCTTAACTATAGTATATGCATGGTTGAGGGATACATGGTATTATGTAAGCAGCAAGTAAGTTGATTAGTTAAGTCCCTAGTATATAATATACTCAGTGAGAAGGGTGTTCCTTTTCAGGATAGCTAACTAGAGTTTTCCATGGTTAGTTACAAAGAAAAACCTTGTGTTTCTATGAATTAGTCTTGCAATATGTTCACGCCTATATTACTAGTTCCCATTTGGATATATTGTAGGGGATAGTCCATCCCCTGATTAGTTGTATTGTAGATTAGCAGTTCCTTAAGCCTATGCACAGCAGGGTTTATTAGTTGTATTGTGGATTAGCAGTTCCTTAAGCCTATACACAGCAGGGTTTACAACATACAAGGTCATAGTGCACAGAGTGTATATGAATAAGAGAACCAATCTAAAGTTAGTACAAGTAGCTACTAAGTTACATATATCACTCTAAAGTTAGTAGCTACTAAGTTACATATATCATTCACTGTATTGTAGAGTTTTCCATCCTTTCCCCGTTCAATCTTTTTAATTTTCTTCTTACTTCTAATTCACGAGCAAATCGTCCTTGCCTTTTCTTTGTAGTAAAATTATTTTTAGAGTATTTGCTGGATTCTATTTTTATTCTTAGTAAAATTATGTAGTAAAATCAGTTGTCACCCGAACTTCATCAATCTTCCTTAGTTCCTAACAAATTATGCTTTATTGCATCAAAGTTTTAATTGTTCTATTGTACTTAACTGACTTCTAAATTCTGTAGGTATCATTCGTGCTGTCCTTATGGCCGGTGCTTATCCAATGGTAGGGAGATTGCTTCCCCCTCGCAAAAATACTAGAAGAGCAGTCATTGAAACAGCAAGTGGTGCCAAAGTTCGACTGCATCCACATTCTTGCAACTTTAACTTGTCTTTCCGTAAGACTTCTGGGAACCCATTAGTGATATATGATGAGATCACTCGAGGCGATGGTGGAATGTACATAAAAAACTCTTCGGTTGTTGGGTCCTATCCTTTAATTATTCTTGCTACGGAAATGGTTGTTGCTCCACCTGAGGACGATGATAGTGATGAAGAGGATGGGGATTCTAGTGAGGATGAAACTGAGAAAGTCACTTTGGGACAACATAAAGAGATAATGTCTTCTCCTGATAACTCTGTTTCAGTTGTTATTGATCGATGGCTTCGGTTTGATGCTACAGCTCTTGATGTTGCTCAAATATACTGCCTTAGGGAGCGCCTAGCATCAGCTATTCTTTTCAAAGTAAGATTTTTATATCTTGCATCATCTAATTTAAGCTTGATTAATGCAATACAACTTGTTCCTTTTGTATTCTCTCTTTCATCCAATGTTTTCTAAGATGCCATGCATGGTTGCCAGCATATTAGCAAACTTTTGTTTTACATTTCAGTCTGCACACTCCCACTGTCCCACTCTGACCCCCGAGTTTTCCTTTAAATATATTGTGTTGATTTTTCTCCAGTGCAGAAATCTGGATAATAAGCATACATGAAAAATCTATAAGGCATGTAGATAGACTGCATTGCCTTCCGTTGTTCATTCTGAGTTGTCTCAATCAGATAATGGATCTGGATCAATAGATCATCATACTGCTTTCTGCATCATTCTTAGTACCTTTATAGTCCAATTATTTCTGAAAAAAAATGGAATTATTTTTCTCAGGTCAAACATCCACAGGATGTCCTCCCACCTGATCTTGGAGCAACTATGTATGCTATTGCGTGCATCCTATCATACGATGGCTTGCCTGCTATGATTACATCTGATGATGTTGCTACAAGTCAGGGTTCAAACCAAAGTTCAGCTGAATCAAGCAGATTCTCTCAGGGTCGTAGAGTCGGTTATATTCCACCTGGCGGTTTCCTCATGTCTTTGTTATCGGATAAACCTCTTAATGCGCCTCATTTTCAGAAGTCCTTTAATCATCCAGATGGAGCTTCAGGGCATATTCGGTCATCGAGGACCTCCGTCGGTAGATTTGATCAGTCTCGCCATCCTCAACGTAATAATTCTGGACCTGGGAGTTCAGCAGCACGGACTTTCAAAAGACAGCGCAACGGTGCACAGTGACTCTGGACTAGCGGCCGCGTTTTGCAGATCCTTCGGCTATGCTGGAATATTGGATGAAAGGCTTTTGTGGCAGAAATAAAGGATTGCTGTCTTGGCCGGGAGTTAAATAGGACTTGCAGCCTTCCTTTGTTGAAGGGCCATACGATGGCAACGTGATGCCTTGAGCTGAAATCATAATCCAGAAACGCTGTTTTGCTGGTGACTTGCAGCCTTCCTTTGTTCGGTGCACGTTGCTATTCTGTTCAGCTCTGCTTCCCAACTTGAGCGTGCCTTGTAATCTGATGGCAAGGCGACGCCATGCCATGCCACAGTCCACTGGTGTCTAACCACCAAATTGTACTCGTTGGAAGAGTGACCCATACAGGCTCAACGGGAGTCTGAATTCTGATGTCCCTCATACAGCCATACAGGAGTAGTAGGTTGGTAGTCTGAAACTTTTGTTTTGCTCTGATGATGTACGTGAAGAAGTGGTGTGTTTCCCTTCTTCGACCTATGGTTCTTTTATAGTACTGGAGTAGTACAGTAGTACTAGTAGTACATGCGCCTAAATTCTCCATGCCATGTGTAACCACAGTGATGTTATGCCGTGCGCCTAAATTTTCCCGTTCTGGTTTGAGATAGCAGTCGCACCCAGAGACGCTGCGGGCCTGTTGGGAAGCTGGATAAGCAGCTGAGCTCCTGATAATCTGGAAAAGTTGGGTTTCACAACTTCTGGTTTTTAGGTTATTTTCAGGATTTTACAAATATAGCTTCTCAGAATCATTGAAAGCTAGACTATTTAGGGAGCTTCTGATTATAAGAGGAACTGCAGCAATTCCGAGAGAAACTGCAGCTAGAAGCTCCTCCAGGACCGGCCTCTCTTCTCTTCGTGAAGAAGAGAAATTGAGTGAAATATAATTGCTCTTGTACCAATGGGGCACTACTAGCACCCAAAAAATAATAACACTGTAGCAACCTTGTAGTACTCCGTAATGCACGTGTCTCTCAGGACCACCTGACCTGAGATTGAATGTCTAGCAGGTGCCAACATCCGCCCGTTTGGAACACGGATTTGCCACGCCCATCACGTTACATAGCTGGCGGATGTCGACGTGTTTTAATGGCCCAATGGCAGGTTTAATACTCGTACGTGAAAAAAGGCTTTGCTCTTGTACGGGCATCGACCAGTGGGCAGTGGCGCCATCATGTTTTCGCCGTACTACCTCGTTCTCGACGACTCGTGCCATACTGTCATGCGAAACTATTTTGTGATATGATCATCGCAGTATACAGCATCTGACCAGTACTACTACTGATTAGACCAATAATTGCCTCCTATTGTCAGCAGATTATTGTTTTATGGAGGATATATTTGTAGAATATAATTGGAATGGTTCACAACTTCACATCTCCTGCCTCTCCAATGACATAGTACAAAGCCAGAATACGATATAGAGTGGATTGAGATCGGTGCAGTCGTAATTGCGACTGCACCTTAGGACTGCATCCATTTTCAGCTATTTATTTTTGTGATCAACAGTACAGATCAACTGCTACCGTACTCGTGCTATAGTACCCTGAACAATATTTTATGTCGTGGTACTTTTGCTACAGCAACCGGCCTAATCCTTACCGTTGGATTTAGATCCAACGTAGCAGCTACAGCTGCTTAAGTTACAGTCCATACTACTACTGCATTTGATCCGGATCCAAATAGAGTCATCCGAAGTGAAATAAAGGACTATTGCTACAATAGCAAAACGCATAGACCCTTTAGCAATTATACTCCCTCCGTCTCAAAAAAAAGACAAACTCTAGGCTTCCGTGTCCAACATTTAACCGTCCGTCTTATTTAAAAAAATTATGAAAAAAAATTAAAAAGACAAGTCACGCATAAAGTATTAATCATGTTTTATCATCTAACAACAATGAAAATACTAATTATAAAAAAAATTTCATATAAGACGGACAGTCAAACGTTGGACACGGAAACCCAGAGTTTATCTTTTTTTTAGACGGAGGGAGAATTTTGTAGATAAGAAGTGAAAAATAAAGGACTATTGCTACCTTTCGTTTAATGTTATCAATCATTTTAGCAAATTTCACATTAAACATGTAGATGTCTCTAATAACAAGGTTACCCTCATTAACTATATCCCAAATGTTTCCTAAAGTAGCAGTAGTTGCCTGCATTGACAAACAGAGTAGAGATGGAATGCCACCTCTAAAACTCATTTGAAATGTGAGAGTGAAGCATTTTGTATCGAAATGTGAGAGTGAAGCATTTCGATACAAAATATGAATATTAGAATGACAAGTAATCTACAATAAGAGTAGTACTGATTTTAACAGAGTAGTACAATTGTGTATAATATCTTAGGACTCTTAAATTCGTTGTAATATAGAACTAATGCAACAAAATTAAATTTTATGGCAACCATTGCGATAAACATCGTGGTACTAATAGGCTATTGCAATAAATTAGTAGTCCTTACGTTAATTAGGAGCAACCAAGGAGCCCTTAGGTTTATTAGGGACAATGAAGGGAACAAGCCCGGGTGCTCAAGTGAAAACGTCATAGACCAATAGATTACTTCCTTACATTGTGATTCAGGTTTCGATATAGCTCATTGCTGACATCGGCCGTGATAAATTTATGAGCATGCTGAGCTGGGATCATGGCGTTAGCAAAGTTATATTCACACCACGTATAGCCGAGTCAACAATCAATCAATCAAATAAAATAGTACAGTACAGTACATCGTGTTTCCGTTACTACGTTCTAAAATAGCTGCTGCTTTTTTTAATCGCAAAGAAGTTCTCTCTCTTTTGAGGACGCAAAGAAAGGTTGATGCTTTCGCCATTCGCAAGCGTAAGCATATTTTGCTAAAAATGCTCCGGTGGGGGAGAGCTGTCGATCCCATCTCAGGAGTGTTTTATATTAGTCCCCAAGTCTTAACGACTTTAAAGGTCGGGGAGTCCTGGTCAACTTTGCCATGACCGCATTAGTTTATTAACACCCCACGACTAAACTACGTATTCCTGCAATTTTCACAAGATCTAACCATCACCCGTAGTTACTACTTCTTCCGTCTTATAATATAAGAGATTTTAAATTTTTATTTACACTGTTTAACCACTCATCTTATTAAAAAAATTTAAAATTATTATTTACTTTTTCTTGACTTACTTTATTATCTAAAGTATTTTAATCACAATTTTTTTGTTTTTTATATTTACACAAATTTTTTAAATAAGATAAGTGGTTAAATAATATAAATAAAAAATTAAAATCTCTTATTTTATGAAACGGGGGAGTAGTAGGCCGTAGCGTCTCCAAACTCTCGTCAGGTATGGACGCGATCGCGCGCAACGGCGGCGCACGGCGCCCGCACCCCCCGTGCCTTTTAATTAACTCTCCTTTTGACCGTGCCAGGTTAACCTCACCTCGCGAAGCGAACTGGTCTACCACACCAACACGACCACACGACACGATCGAGGCTCGCATGGATTTTCGCATTTTCGGTGGACAGAGTAGGGTAGGGGCGTGGAGAGGGGAGGTGAGCGGTGGTGAGCCACACGAGCAGGGCAGCGCAGAGGATCGCGGGGTGCATGATTGAGCGGAGGGGGGAAGGGGTGTGGTGGGGTCAGTAGTACGGGGGGGGGTGAGCGGTCGGTGACGCGGGGTGAGTCCGCGTCAGCGATGCCTACCTCCGCGCGCCTCACGTCACCCGCGCGACCTCACCCGTTCACGCGGGCCCCACCACCACCACCGCCTCCCTCGCCGACGCCCTCGTTTCGTACGACTAGAAAGAATACTCCATAATAGAAGAGATTTTAAGTTTTTTTACATTATTTGATCACTCGTCTTATTTAAATTTTTTTTGAAATTATTATTTATTTTTTTGACTTACTTTATTATCCAAAGCACTTTAAGCACAATTTTTTGTTTTTTATATTTACACAAATTTTTTTTGAATAAGACGAGTGGTCAAACAATACAAACAACAACTCAAAATCCCTTATATTATTATATTATGGGATGGAGGGAGTACAATACAGTACTCCTACGTACTAAAAAAACCGGGCCGATGCCATCTTTCCGCTAAAAAAACAGTCGCGCGCAGCGCAGCAGCAGCTGCTGCGGCCGGCCAGGCAACAAGATGCACCGAGTTGCCGAGCAAAAGAAAAAAACCTTGGGGAGATCGCGGCGCATCGCGGTTGCGTCTCCGCGTCCCGCGACCACGGATTTTCCTTTTTGCCTGCGCCGTTTGCGTTGCACGCGGTGTGTGTGTTACGGCAACTTCTGTATCGTGTACCTACGGGACATATCGGCTCGGCATGCGCAAAGACGGGGAAGCCGACCGAGCGAGCTGGAGCCTGGGAGGAGGAGAGGAGGAGGTGGTGATTTCGACGGCCTATCCACAGTACACACACGCGCCTGCGGCCTCTGCCCTGCGCTGCCCCGCCACCTGTGCTTTGGAGACCTCCGTCCCATATTACTCGTCTTTTTAAGTTTTTATTTGTCAATGTTTGATCATTCGTCTTATTTAAAAAATTTTAGAATTATTATTTATTTTGTTTATCATTTGCTTTATTATCAAAAGTATTTTACATATGACTTATCTTTTTTTATATTTGCACTAATTTTTTAAATAAAATGAATGGTCAAACGTTATAAATAAAAAATCAAAAATGTCATCTATTACGAGACGGAAGGAGTAGTAGGAGAGGATAACGCTGGGGGTTTGCCTCTCTTGGCCAGGGCACGACGTGATGGCGTGAGCCTCTCACCGTACATGTCACGTCGCGATAACCATCTGTCCGGCCGCTTTCTATGAGGATAACCACAAGGAACAGTAAAACTAATCCTGACAATCCATGCTATTACACCGATTCTAAAATATATAGTAATTTTAACTACAAATATGAAGGAGCATAATTATTTTATTTTTTAAGCTGCTATATTTTAAAATTTTTACTTTTGTTCAAATTGATGGTTACAAATTATTATATTTTAGAATAGATGGAGTACTGTTATTTTCTTCGAGCACAAGATCAACATGACAACATTAACGTTTGGATTGAACTACTTTCTTATTCAACCTAAACACGCTACCAAATTGTTGAACGGTTATTTTTTCAAAAAAACTATTTATACAAAAAATTATTTTAAAATGATAACATTATTATTTAAATTTGTAATAGTTAATAGATAAGTAGTCGTTCAATAATGATTTATCTTACGGATAAGTATAAGCTAACCCCTCATTTAAACGCAACCTTGTTACCGCTCTTCTGGCAGGATAGACTCAAATCTAGACCAATAAATTTCTCACTTGTTTGGTCTAATAGGAATTAGGGAAGTCCCAACTCTCTATTTAGGATAGTACTTATAGCATTAACTACATTGCCATGTAGGACTTTTAACTTATGTGGTACCATATTAATTAAGAGAGAGAGTGAAGAGATGAAGAAACTGGGTCTCATGCAAAACACAGCTTCAACACGAGAACCTATGCACTAGACACTATCAAGTTTTGCATTGGGAGAGAATATTGTCTTCATAATAGATGAAGAATAAATATGATTGGTAGAGAAGAGAGATGGTGTATTTATTAATGGCCCACTTTAACAAATCATGGGTTGTGAAGTGTAGTTTCTATTGTGATGTCTTATTGACATGGCACCATAGACACTGCTTATGGACACTATGAGTTGGGACTGCCCTTATGCTATCATACTTATCACGAAGAAAATGATTTTACTGGTCTAAAAGTATGACCAAAAGTTACTATACCTTTTATTTTAGAGTAAAGTGTATTAGCGGTTCTTAATCTTATAGGGTTGTGTCATATAGGTCCCTAAACTCTGAAAATGGTCTCAGAACTTGTCAAAATGTATCATCTAAGTCCCAAATTGACACATCCCCTTTAGATCCTACATGGCGCTGATGTGGTGTGCCACATGGACGTGACGTGTCCTTTTATTTTTTTTCCTTCTTTTATTTTTCTTTTTCTTTTCCGTTTTCTTCTCATTCTTCTTTTTTTACTTTCTTCTGCTCGGGTCACAGAGAAAGGAGAATAAAGGGGAAAAAGAGAAGAAAAAAAGAAAAAGAAAAAAAAAATAAATGTGTCCCATTTGTCAGTCAAAATAACACCACGTCATATTTGTGTGGCATGCCACATCAACGTCACGTAGGATCTTGAAGAGGGTGTGGCGATTTGAGATCTAGATGACACACTAGGACAATTTCTGGAACTTGAATATATATCTTGAGAGCTTAAGAATCTGGATGACACACCTTACAAGAACCGTCCGTACACTGTACTTTTTTTTTATTATAACGGATGTGTTACTAGTAATTTGTTAGGGTCACCTCATGTTCGTGATCTTTCAACAACAAGATCGTGTTTAATTCGACGAAAATGACCGGTAATGCCGAGACAAGGTGGTGCAGGCTAGTAGCGGTGAATGCCTTAGATCTCTAGTCAGTTTTGTGGTGTTCGATCAATGGATCAGCCCAACATCATTAGCTCCCAGAGGTATGGTGGAACGCCACAGGAAAGGCGTGTGAAGAGAGGCGATGCCACGGCATAGCGGCGAGACGAGAGAGAGATAGAGAGAGAGAGAGAGAGATGTGGACGGCCGCAGTGCACGGCAAGGAAGGGTACAGACTCCCGGTGGGGTGACCGGGGGGTGAGGTGATGTGTATGGCAAAAAGAAATGAAGGAGATGTGTTGGATGCTGACTGATCTGAACAGTAGTGCTACTGGAAAAATTTAAGCTATTTTCGCTCAATAAAATATCTAATACTAGGTGCATAGGAATATCTGAACTTGCACATTTTGAGGGCTTTTTACAGCACGTTTAAATTACTTGATGCTGTGAGTGTACAGCACATGAATGGAATTTTTGTAGACTCTCTATTGTACCACATACTCATAGAAAAGAGTCTAATACTGGTTGACAAATAACCCTACTATTGGATCTAGATTGACTAAAATCACAAACACTAAATAGAAATAGACTTGCCGTTTGTGTAGCGATGTATGTACTCTCTCCGCACCTAAAAGATTTGTTTCACAGAGACTATTTTCTAAGTAGATGTCCATTAGATCTTTAATAGTATTTTTTTTCGTTTTAACCTTCAAACCCAGTTGTACTCCCTTCTCTTCCTCATCTTTGATTATCTTAAACAATATCAATAATATTCTTTTATGAATAGTGTGAGTTTAAAATAAAGTATACCTTTTCCTTTAAAAATTACTAGTTTTTAAGTTTTTTACTTACAGTATATATTTTTTATTAAGATACATATTTTACCTATGTTTTTTTAACATGTTTTTAAAACAGCTTAACGATGTGTTTCTTAAAAACATTTTATGTATAAAAATTGCTTTAAAATATAAAATAAAAATACTTTCAAGTTTATAATAATATAAACTCATATGTTAATAGTTTTTGTATTTTACGTGTGTGCTGACATCATCTTCGTAGCCTCAAACACACTCTAATTTATATTTCACATGTATTTTACTCATACTATTTCCCAAAGGCACGAGAGAGGACGGCAACAACAAAAAGATCCTCGCCTCCCCACACCTGACCCTACCCATCAAAATCCTCCTAGACAACTCACTAAATTATATACCACCAGTATGAAAAAGAAACTAAAAAACCATTTTTAAAAGGTCCCAGATGAAGAATTCTTTTCCAACTCGATCCCAACAGAAGAAAAGGAAAAAGAAATGAATAGCACCGAGGAGAGGACAGACAGAACAAATCCATCGGTCTCCTCCTCCCTCCGATTTCCCCCCTTCGTCCTCGTCGTCTTCCTCCCATTTTTTTTTCCTCCTCCTCCTCCTCTCATCCCTCGCCGCGAGCCAAAGCCCCTGGTTTCCTCGCAACTGCCTCCCCGCGATTCCGTTTGACCCCCACTGTTCTTCTCCCCTACCACCACCAGGTCGCAGTCGCTTCCAATTTCCAAATAATTCCCTCCACTCCGGCCGCTCGCGAGGAAAGAAAAGGATTTCTTTTTCTCTCTCTCTCTCTCTCCCCCTCTCTCCGAGATCCGTTTCCCAAACAGGCGGGGGGTCGAAAGTGTTTGGTACTTTGGTTTGGGGAGCTTGTTTGCCGACGCGGATCTGCGTGGAGACGAGCAGAGGGGGGAGCGCCGGAATTGGGTGGTTTGGCCCGGGAGGCGCCGGAAAGTGGGGGAGCCTTTGGATTCCCCGAACCCGCCATGGTGATCCGGCACGAGTAGTAGTGGTGGTGGTGGTATTAGTAGCAGTGAGATGCCGGCGCGTAGCGCGGTGGTGGTAATAGCCATGGAGCCCTCGTCGTCCATCACCATCGCGTCGTCGTCCTCGTACCTCTCGAACGGGTCTAGCCCGTGCTCGGTCTCTCTTGCGCCGCCGGGGGCAGGGGCGGTGGCGGCGCAGGCGGCGCCGGTTGCCGCCGGGGAGGGCGGCGGCGGCGGAGGAGGAGGAGGAGGAGGAGGGAGTAGTAGCGTGGAGGTGGTGAGCCTGAATCGGCTTAGCGCTAACCTCGAGCGGCTCCTCCTCGATTCCGACCTCGACTGCAGCGACGCCGACGTCGACGTGGCCGACGGTGGCCCGCCCGTGCCAGTCCACCGCTGCATCCTCGCCGCCCGCAGCACCTTCTTCTACAACCTCTTCGCGGCGCGCGGCCGCGGCGGCGATGGGGCTGCCGGCGGCGGCGGCGGCGGCGGTGGTGGGGGAGGGGAGAGGACTGGGGGGAGGCCGCGGTACAAGATGGAGGAGCTCGTGCCGGGAGGCCGCGTGGGGCGCGATGCCTTCCTGTCGCTGCTGGGTTACCTGTACACGGGCAAGCTCCGGCCGGCGCCGGATGACGTGGTGTCCTGCGCCGACCCCATGTGCCCGCACGACTCGTGCCCGCCGGCGATCAGGTTCAACGTCGAGCAAATGTACGCGGCGTGGGCGTTCAAGATCACCGAGCTCATCTCGCTGTTCCAGGTGAGATACAAAAGGATGCTCTTCTTGTGCTTGTTAGGATACCAAAAACGGTAGCTGCAGAACTAGAAACTGTTCTGTCACCGATTATATTTTTATGCAATCTGTATTTGATGGTGTAAACATATTTTCAACCAATTTTTGCATGCGAATAACTTCAAGCTGCACGATGTCTTGAGTCTGGATTCTGGAAGTCGTTCAAGCACATAGGCTGTGTTACATAAGCTTGATAGCTTGTAAACATTGCTCTCAAGTCCCCACTTCAGATCTTCTAACTAGATTGTGTTATACCTTTTTTAAGTTGAAAGAAACTTGCTAAATCTATATTGGGTTCGATTAGAGGAGCTAGGATGCAGTCCTGGTCCTGGTGATGTGTATCAGTGTGCTCCAGATTGGTTAGTGGACTAATTAGCTTGGTTGTCTCAGCTTATATAGTTCAACGGTTTATGAATCCACTACATGTCCAATAACCCAAAGTCTTTTAGCTTATATTTTTATGACCTGTTGTTTAATCTGGGTTAATACGGTCTTCTTCTACCACAGCGACGGCTTCTTAACTTCGTCGATAAGACTCTAGTAGAAGATGTTCTTCCAATTCTGCAAGTTGCTTTTCATTCAGAGCTGACTCCAGTGCTTGAAAAATGTATTCGGAGAATTGCAAGATCAAATCTTGATAATGTATCGTTGGATAAGGAACTTCCTCCAGAAGTTGCTGTTCAGATAAAAGAGATTCGCCAAAAATCTCAGCCAAATGAGGGTGACACCGTCATTTCAGACCCTGTACATGAGAAAAGGGTCAGAAGAATCCACAGGGCACTGGATTCTGATGATGTTGAGCTTGTGAAGTTGCTTCTTAACGAATCTGAGATCACCTTGGATGATGCCAATGCATTGCACTATGCTGCTGCTTACTGTGATTCGAAAGTTGTTTCGGAGTTGTTAGACTTGAGACTTGCCAACTTGAATTTGAAGAATTCGCGTGGATACACGGCACTCCATCTGGCTGCTATGAGGAGAGAGCCAGCTATTATCATGTGTCTCCTAAACAAAGGAGCAGCTGTATCACAATTGACTGCTGATGGCCAGAGTGCAATGAGTATCTGCCGGAGGTTAACAAGGATGAAAGACTACAATACAAAGATGGAGCAAGGCCAAGAGTCAAACAAAGACAGATTATGTATTGATATATTAGATAGGGAGATGATAAGGAAACCTATGGCAGTGGAAGATTCTGTCACCTCGCCTTTGTTGGCTGACGATCTTCACATGAAGCTTCTCTACCTTGAAAACAGAGGTGAAGTCTCTTTTCATGCTCGGTAGAATAGCACTTCGTGGTGCAGCTTGTTTCAGACCTTTCTCGAACAGAAACAGGATGGAGAAAAATTATACATTTATGCTACATAAACAAGTGATCCTAGCATTTACCACGTTTGCTTTCAACCATACTACATTCACCTGGAGAATCCATGCTGACACATTGCATTTTCTCTTGCAGTTGCATTTGCAAGATTATTTTTTCCTGCAGAAGCAAAGGTTGCAATGCAAATTGCACAAGCAGACACCACACCAGAATTTGGCATTGTTCCTGCAGCTAGCACTTCTGGAAAATTGAAGGAAGTCGATCTGAACGAGACACCAGTAACACAAAACAAAAGGCTCCGTTCAAGGGTGGATGCACTCATGAAAACAGGTCGGAACTGATGACACATTCTTTATATGCAAACTATTATAGCTTATGAGTAGATGTCACTGATTACCATCAGAAATTCTCACATGTTGCTAATACCTTCATCTTCGTACTTTAAATGTTTGAGTTGGTGGTGTTGATACCGTGGTAGTTCAAAATCCCCATTTCTTCCACCATCTCTCACTAAAAAAATCACCCCAGCACGCACGTTGCTAGTTCCCGGCTAAAATTTTAACTGCTAATGGAACACGGAAAATAATTATTTAGTTGTCAAATGTTATGTGAGGATGTTGTAGTTCATGTTAAAAACATTCCTGTCTCTTGTAAAACTGGCGTGATTTCCACATTTTGCATACTTTGAACCTAATGAGCACAAATAGTTGGGGTTTTTATTTACTCAAATGTTGATTGGTAATTTGTTTTACTCTCAGCACCCTTTCCTCAGAACTTGATGATCATTCTTATGATATTTTTTTTCTTCTGTTTTCAGTTGAGCTGGGACGTCGCTACTTCCCTAACTGCTCGCAGGTGCTCGACAAATTTCTGGAGGATGATTTGCCCGATAGTCCTGATGCACTCGACCTCCAAAATGGCACTTCTGATGAGCAAAATGTTAAAAGGATGCGGTTCTGTGAGTTAAAGGAGGATGTGCGCAAGGCATTCAGCAAAGACAGAGCTGATAATAGCATGTTTTCTATCTTGTCATCTTCATCGTCATCTTCGCCACCTCCCAAGGTTGCAAAGAAATGACAGAAGTTTTGTAACAAATTTCCGCTCGTGATGTTACTGGGACAAGAGATATCGATCAATAGACCTGTATAGTCTTACAGTGGTATAACAATTAGATATCGAAGCTTCTTCGAATATTAGAAAGTGCTGTTCTGGGCTGCACTCAGCTGGTTTATGGGACCCATGCGGTGAAACTGGCAAAAGAAAACCAGCTGATTAGAGGCTCCAAAGCAGTGTCTCTCGTGAATATGTTTGTAGCATTCTGTTTTGTTCAGGATGGCTATAATGATAAAATCTTTTCAATAGATATATAGCTAATTGTCTCGTAAGCATACTGCCATTATTGAGATCGTAGAAGCTGCAAGTTTTGTAAGAAAAAGACGGCGTTGCTTATCGCCAACGCTATGTATCGGAGAACAAGTGTTTTTTTTGGCTGTGAGACACAGGTAATGGATATGCAAAAAAGAAAAATCTTGTGTAATTGCAGCTGTGCATATCAACTAATTATCTATATATCTACGGAATCTTGCACAAGGGCACCCAGATTTGACAGTGAAACACAAGATAAAATGGAATAGAAACAAAAATGAAACCAACACAGCAGTATTTACAATTCTGAAGCTGCAAACTACTGTAGACCATAACTTGTCACCCTTCGAACAGCTCTGCCAGCATCTCCTCCAGGTCAGCAGGAGTGTTGCTGTTTCCGCGGCTAACCAGTCTCTTCAGCTCAGGATGCTCCAACAAGTACTCGCGATAACCTGAAACAACTCTCTCGGTGATAGTTTTTCGCAGCCTTCCTCTAAGCTCAGGGCTTGGGACCTTCCACAGCTTCTGAGCCGTGTACGTCTCATGGAACGCCAACTCGAATTTCCTCAATGGCGAGGACTTGTTGCTCCAGGGAGAGAGGCCAGACTTCGACGATAGGCAGGACAGCACGGGCGCCCAAGAAGCGCTGAAATAGCCGTCGATGTAGCCGCCACTGGCAACGAATCCACCGTAGGTTGGAGAACGGCTCGAGCTGCTGCGCCACGAAATGCGAGTTGTTGAGCAGGAAAATGTACCTCAGGCCCGTGCCCTGGCACAGCTTGGATTTCCTCCTGATGAGACGCCTCAGGTAGCCGATGGCGTCGTACGTCGATCATGGCGTACAGGTATCCCCTGTACGTTCCCAGCGTACGCGACGCAGTCCACCATGACGCGAGCGCTCGTGTGCACGTCGTCTCCGCTACCTCGCGCGATCTCCGTCGGGTCGTCGTCGGCGGCGGCCTCGACGAGCGCCTTGGTCTCCTCCATGGTGCTCGATATGGCGCCGTGCAGCTCGGTCGCCTTCCTGAACAGGGCGTTCTCCATGGCGTCGAACGTGATGGCCTGGGTGGTTTGGTGGGTGATCAGCACGCGGCGGCACTGTGACCAGAGGAGAGACGAGGCGTCCATGGCGTGCCCGTACATGCTGACCAGGGCGTGTAGCTTCTCCGGCGGCGGAGCGTGGACAAGCTTGAGAGCGGCGAGGACGGCGTCGACGAAACCGACCATCTTGGCGACGCAAGCTTCCCCGAACCGCGCGAGCGACGGCGTCGGCTCGTTGTTAGCAAAAGGAACACAGATTTTGGGGCTAGTTTAATTTCTATTCTCCACTCAATCAACTATGGCTGGTTGGATACATACACACACACACAGATATATATATATATATATATATATATATATATATATATATATATATATATATATAGGCTAGTGGCTTATATCCTAAGAAACTAGGAGTGGCTTACATCCTAAGGAAAACTACTAGTGGTTTACATCCTAAGGCAGCCAACTATTATTCCAAAAATAGATGTTAAAAGCATATAGTAAAAACAAGACTTAATCTGTCATTCTCCCCCTAAGTCATGTGTGGCGCCTTTTGGGGAATTTGAACCATTCCAATCCTGGCGCGAAACTCCTGGAACTTGACCCGCCCAAGGGACTTGGTGAGAAGATCGGCGAGCTGATCCTGGGTGTTAATGTAGCTGGCCTTGATGCTCCCCTCCTCCAAGCAGCTCCGAATGAAATGATACTTGATGCGGATGTGCTTGCTGCGCTCATGGAAGACGGGATTCTTTGCCAAGGCCAAAGCGGACTTGCTGTCCATCCTGAGCTCCACTGCTTCAGTGTTTCTGCCCAAGAGATCACCCAGCAGCCGAGCCAACCAGAGAGCTTGAGTTGAGGCGGTTGTGGTAGCGATGTACTCTGCCTCGCAACTAGACAGGGCCACCACTTGTTGCTTGACCGACTGCCAGCTGATCAGGCACTTGCCGAGGAAGAACAGCGTGCCACTGGTGCTCTTGCTCGTGTCGCTGTCGCCGGCGAGGTCGCTGTCGCTGTACCCGATGAAGTGCTGCGCACCGGGACACCTCGGGTAGTGAAAGCCGTAGTCGGTGGTGCCCTCGACGTGACAGCCTGCTGGTGCTCTGTCGTCGGTCGCTGCATGAACCGGCTGACATAGCCAACAGCAAATGCCAAGTCTGGCCGCGTGTGGACGAGGTAGCGAAGGCTGCCCACAATATGCCGGTACTGCGTGGCGTCGACCTCCTCAGCCGTGCTGTCGCGGCTCAGCTTCAACCTTTCCTCCATGGGAGTGTAGGCTGGGTTGCAGCCGGTGAGCCCGCCCAACTCGACGATGCACTTGGCGTAGGCGGTTTGGCGAAGGGAGATGCCAGAGCTGTCCTGGTGGACCTCGATCCCCAGGTAGAAAGAGAGAAGGCCCAAATCGCTCATCTGGAAAGTCGCCTTCATCTCCTCCTTAAACGCCTCCACCTCAGCCTCCTTGGTGCCGGTGATCACCAAGTCGTCGACGTAGACGCCTACCAACAGGGCATTGCCGTCCTTGCCCCGCTGGTAGACAGCAGCTTCGTGAGAGTTCTGCTGGAACCCCATTTGCTTGAGAGTGGAGTCCAGCTTGGCGTAGAGGGCCTGCCGCAAGCCGTAGAGGGCCTTGCGCAGGCGGAGAACCTTGTTCTCCTTGCCGGGGATGACGAATCCCGGCGGCTGGTGGACGTAGACCTCCTCCTTCAGGTCTCCGTTGAGGAAGGCGGACTTGACATCCATGTGGTGCACACGCCATCCTTCCTGGGCTGCCAGCGCGAGGAGCAGACGAACAGACTCCATTCGCGCAACGGGCGCGAAGGCGTCGTCAAAGTCGACTCCCTCCTGCTGAACGAAGCCGCGCGCCACTAGACGTGCCTTGTGCTTGATCACCGCCCCGGCCTCATCCTTCTTGAGCTTGTAGACCCACTTAAGGGTGATGGCGCGGTGGCTGGCAGGAAGATCTGCCAACACCCACGTCCAGTTCCGCTCGACCGCGTCCATCTCGTGCTGCATCGCAGTGCGCCATGCCACATCTCCATTCGCCTCTGCGAAGGAGCAGGGCTCGCCGTCCTCATGCGCCAGGTGCAACTCGGCCTCGAAGTCGCGCGTCTCCAGTCCAGGGACGGGCTGATCACCGAAGATGTTGTCCATGGTGCGGTAGCGCAGAGGCTCGTCGTCGTGGTACGCATCAACACGATCCTCGTCGTTGGACAACGGAGTGGCGAACTCCACCGGTGGTGTGGGCGCCGGTGTAGGAGAGCGGGGCGTAGCTGGTGATGGAGGAGTTGCTGGTGGTGTAGGTGGTAGAGGACTCGCCGGAGCTGATGGCGAGCCGGGTGCCGAGGTGGACGAGCTCGGTGAAGATGAGCTGCTAGCTCCCCCGGCTGCCCTAAAGTGGACGTAGTCGACGACGAAGTCTCTGAGAGTCGAAGTCGAGCCGTCGTCCACCGCCTTGTACGAAGCCCAACCTCGCCCTTCGTCGAACACGACGTCCCGAGAAATGCGGACGTGCTGCGTCGAAGGGTCGAGGATGCGGTAGGCCTTGACACCCTCCGCATAGCCGATGAAGACTCCCGGCGAGCTCCGGTCGTTGAGCTTGCCGACGTGGTTGAGCTCCTTGGCGAAGGCGAGACAGCCAAAGACGCGGAGGTGGCTCACCACCGGCTTGCGCCCGTGCCAGGCCTCGTACGACGTCTTGCCATCAAGGGCCTTGGTGGGCGAGCGGTTGAGGAGATGGACGGCAGTCATCACCGCCTCCCCCCAGTAGATTGCCGGCATCCCTCTTTGCTTGAGGAGGGCGCGGGCAGTGGCCACCACTGTCTGGTTGCGGCGCTCCACAACGCCGTTCTGCTGCGGGGTGTATGGCGCGGAGAAGTGGCGCTGGATCCTCTCGTCGGCGCAGTACGCTGCGAACTCAGCCGTCGTGAACTCGCCACCGTTGTCGGTGTGTAGCACCCGAAGCTTGCGGCCGCACTCCTTCTCCGCAGCAACTTGATGGTGCTTGATGGCGTCTGCAGCCACTGCCTTGGAGTCGAGCAGGACCACCCACATGTAGCAGGACACGTCGTCGACGAGCAGCAGGAAGAAGCGCCGGCCTCCAGGTGTGGCCGGAGTCACGGGACCGCAGAGGTCGCCGTGCACGAGCTCCAACTTCTCCTTGGCGCAGAAACTTGCTTGGCGGGGAAAGGGGAGTCGCCGCTGCTTGGTGAGGACGCAGGTGTCGCAAAACTGCTCCACGTGCTCGACTCGTGGCATGCCCTGCACCATCTCCTTGTTGCTGAGCTGCTTCAAGGCCTCGAAGTTGAGGTGCCCAAAGCGCTCGTGCCACCGCCATGCATCATCGTCGCGGCGGGCTGCAAGGCACACGGGCTGCGCCACCTGTACATGGAGAACATAGAGGCGGTTGGCACCCCTGTTCACCTTGACGAGAAGGCGACGATGGCGATCCCAAACCCGCAAGACCCCGTCCTCTATCTCCACGAGCAAGCCGTTCTCATCCAGTTGTCCCAAACTGATGATGGAGTTCCTCAGCGCGGGGATGTAGTAGACACCGGTGAGCAGCCGGTGCTCGCCGGTCTTGGTGGTGAAGAGGATGGAGCCGACGCCCTTGATCTCCACGGCTGAGGCGTCCTCAAACTTGACGGAGCCTTGAACACTGGAGTCAAGCTTGGAGAAGAATTCCCGTCGCCCGGTCATGTGGTGAGTGGCACCAGTGTCGAGGCACCACCCGTCGATCTTGTCGTCGCAGGATCCGTTGCTGAGGAAGACGTGGGCCCACAGCTCGTCGAGGTGGAGGGGCGCGGTAGCGTCCGGTGTGGGAGTGAAGTGTGGCTCGATGCTTCCGTGTACGAAAAACAGAGCCACCTCATCACCCTCCTGCGCTTGAGCGACGTGTGCTTGACCGCCGTGCTTCGCCTGCCGGCAGTCCTTGGCCCAGTGGCCGGTCTTCCCGCAGTTGTGGCAGGTGTCGTTGCGGCTGCCCTTGCGCTCGCCATCGGCGCCGCCAAGAGCGCCACTACGCGCCTTCTCCCACTTGCGTGGTCGACGCTTGCGGCTGCTCGACGATCCCGAAGCCGAAGAGCTTGTGGCCTCCCCCTTCTTCCGCTCTTGTTGGCGGGCGAGCCACTTCTCCTTGGTGAAGAAAAGCTTGCCACCAATGGTGATCGGCTCTGAGGGAGGTAGCTGCTTGCGGTTGTCGACGGCCTTGAGGCGACCTGTCACCTCTTCGTTCGTGAGCTCGGTGAAGTCCAGCAGCGTCTCGATCGACAGAGCCAGCTGCGTGTACTTCTCGGGGACGACGCAAAGGAGCTTCTCCACGGCTCTCTCCTCATCGATGGTGGTGTCGCCGAGCTGCGCCAACCGCTGTTGCAAGGAGTTGAGGCGGAGAACAAAGTAGTCGATGTCCTAACCCGGCTTGAAGGCCAGGTTCTCCCAATCCTGACGCAGCTTCTGAAGCGTGGACCTGCGGGCGCGGTCGCTGCCAATGCGTACCGAAGCGATGGCGTCCTAGGCGTCCTTGGCGGTCCGCTTGCTCGCGATGGAGGACTGGATCTCCGTCGGAACAGCAGCAAGGAGCACCTCCAACGCCCGCCGATCTTCCCCGTAGTCGACGTCGCCGTATCGAACCGCGTCCCACATGTGGCGCGCCTGCAACTTCACCTTCATCACCATCGCCCACTCGGCGTAGTTAGTCTTGGTGAGCATGGGCCATGCGCCGCCAACATCCTTGACGACGATCTGCACAACGGGAGGAGAGCCGGAGCGTCCACGGCGACCACGGCGCCGGTCCGGGGAAGGGGAGGCGCGCTGCCTGCGAGGGCTCCGTGCGCCAACGTCTCGTCCACCCTGCTCCCGGTCGAAGTCCAGTTGTGCCTCAATCGCCGCTGCCTGCTCCCGGAGTCGCTGGGTCTCCAGAGCGCGGTTGATTCGAGGATCGCGCCATGGATCGCGCCGCTCCTCCTCACCGCGGTGGAGATCTGATCCTCTGCGATGGGGGCTGAAGTCGCGATCACGTCGGCCTATGTGTCGATCCCGGTCCGCGTCGCGTCGCACGCGGGCCGCGTCTGTCAGCTCCAGGTCACGTCGCTCCTCCTCCTCCTCAGCTCGCAAAGTAGCAGCAGCAGCTGCAGCCTGCCTGGCGGCCTCCGCGGTGCGTGCTGCTTCAGCTTCTGCTGCCACGAGACGTGCCGCCCTCGTGGCTACCTGCAGCCGCGCCTCTGCTTCCTCACGCGCCGCGCGCGCTTCCCGCACAGCCGCTCGCGCCTCCTGCGCAACCCGCGCAACAACAGTCGGAAAAGGAGATTAGATCAAGGTGGAGTCGAAGGCGGAGATTGATCCGAGAACAGAGCAATAATCGGCTGAATTCCAAATCGGCTACGATTAGGATCGGCTGGGTCTGAGTCGGACTAGGTGAGCCGATGCAGCCGATTCTGACAGTATAATTTGGTGTATGACATTGGGTTGAATTGAGGTGCTTCAAGATGATTGCCGCACATGGATAGAGTCCTGAGAAGGCAATTGTATCTATTAATTAGGATGTTTTATGTAACTTCCTTAGATATATGTTTGGGCAAAAGTCTGCTGCAAAGACTTATGGTATCTTAGAGTTTGTTAGAGATAGCGGTCGTGTCCAGTATGGACATATCTTGTAATTCTCGGGTATAAATAGACCCCGAGCCCTATGTAATTTTTAACACACATGTTCAATACAATTTTGGCGCATCGCCACCTTTTTGCTTTAGTTTTGTTTCGACGAGTTCTTACTTTCGGGTTGAGCTACATCGGTTTCGATCTTCAACAAGAGGTAAAACTTGTTATGACGACTTGTGTTCTCGAGATTAGTGCTTCCATCATTATGACACTCTAATTTTGTCTATATAATTCGTCAAGTTATCATATATCTTACATAATCTTTGGCAATATCGTCATCTAACCTACAATCGGCTAACATCTGTTAATAGAAGGCAGCCGATTAGGTTAAATAGCGACGTTGTCCTAGATTATATAAGATATCTACCACTTTATGAAACACCCAGCGGCTTGATTGTCTAGATATTGTTCTTCTTTTCATACTTAATGCTGCATCAGTTGAGTTTGATCTATTAAGTCGTGCTTAGAATATCAATCTCTAGCATGTCCTATGGTTGCCGATTAGGGTAGTATCGGAGTTTCAGCCGATCTTATCTGATTTAACCATATTCGATCTATATGCTTCAATGACATGTTAAATCCGCCCTTTATATCAAGATCTTATTGTATTTAAGTATATTAAGCTTTTGTTTGGTAAATTATATTTGTTTTGATATCTTTATATAAAGTAGTATCGGAGTATTAGCCGATACATGCTAGATCTATCTGATCGGCTATGCTATAAACATATATAATCCTGTTATTAATATATATTTCGATCTAAGTGATTTATACTGTCTCGGCATGGTGACCGATCTATCCCAATCACTTGATTTAAGTATATATTAATATAAGAACTATATATCGTTAATATCTACAGCCGATCGAATAGATTTAGTTCCTTACTTTCTATTTATAACCGCCGATCGATTCATATATGACATCGGCACCTAGCCGATCGGCTATCATTTATAGATTTAACCACGAATTCTTTGTCTCTATTTCTTGTTGATTACAGGATCAAATCAACTGGCACGCTCATACATTCGAAGGCGAGCTTTGGACCTGCACCGGAGTTAAGTAGATCTCCCAGGCCTCGTGTTTTCTATCAACACAGCTGCAGCCTGCCTGGCCGCCTCCGCGGTGCGTGCTGCTTCAGCTTCTGCCGCCGCGAGACGTGCCGCCCTCGTGGCTGCCTGCAGCCGTGCCTCCACTTCCTCATGCGTCGTGCGCGCTTCCCGCGCAGCCGCTCGCGCCTCCTGCGCAACAGCAGTCGCATCGCCGTCGCCCTCAGCGTCGGCCGCCGACCGCCTGCTGCCTCGTCCGCTGGAAGTGCTTGAGGCATGGGACGAGAGAGAGGGGGAACGAATGGAGTGGAGAGACATTTTTGGATGGGGAGTCGATGGAAGTCAGATAAACCTTGCTCTGATACCAATTGTTAGCAAAAGGAACACAGGTTTTGAGGCTAGTTTAATTTCTATTCTCCACTCAATCAACTATGGCTGGTTGGATATATATATATAGGCCAGTGGCTTACACCATAAGGTATAGATTAGTGGCTTACATCCTAAAAATTAGGAGTGGCTTATATCCTAAGGAAAACTACTAGTGCCTTACATCCTAAGGCAGCCAACTATTATCTCAAAAAATTACTAGTGCCTTACATCCTAAGGCAGCCAACTATTATCTCAAAAATAGATGTTAAAAATATATAGTAAAAACAAGACATAATCTGTCACTCTCCACCAGATCTTGCAGCGGCGACGACGACGGGGAGGAGGCGGCCGACTTCTCCAGCTGCCGTAACCCCTGCCCCTCGCGGATTCGGAGGACCCAGTCGACGTCGAGCTCGAAGAACCACCTCCCCCTCGAGGACCTCGACCGTCGCCGCGTCGTCGAACGCTTGGACCATGCGCTGGGCGTAGCCGTCGGCGACCATGCGACGCGCGACCTCCCTGAGCTCGTGCGCCGTGAGTGCCCTGAAGCCAGCGGCCGCGGCGGCGGAGACGCCGGAGGAGTGGCCGGAGCAGTCGGACGCGTAGGAGGAAGACGACCAGGTGGAGGCGGAATCTTCGGACTGGAAGAGAGGCCCTCGGCCGCCGGAGACGACGGCGGCGACGCTCCGGATCGAGTCGCGGTAGGAGATGCACGGCAGGGTATTGGCGGCGGCGCTCAGGTCGGCGGCGGCGCTCTCTGGTACGGCAGCGAGGCGCAGCGCCATTCTATCGCTCGCGCGCAGTCGTTTGGGGCTTTGGGCTGCTCGATGAGTCTGCCTCGAGCAAGGGCCAAGAGACTCGAGTGAAGCGAGAGAATTTCACAGGTCAACGCCAAGTCAGCACCCGCGCGCGTTCGAACCGCGTGCTCGTGACAGTCGCAACTCACGATCTTTCCTTCGTAATTACCCAAAGTGTGGCAACGACTCTTCTTCTGTGCTTCTCGTATTTAGAGTAGTTTAATGGTACAGCAAGCTACTAGCTCTAAATCACATATAATCAACTTAAAATAAAATATCTAGTTCAGATAATAGTTATGTATAAATATATACTACTCCACTATTGTTCCTGCTTTAGAGGTTTCTGTAACTGTAAAAGGGAATAATCAGCACGCTACAGATACAATGGCATCGACCATACCATCTAGGACAGATACGATGGCATCGACCGCACCATCTACGACAACAATGTACCATCTAGGACAGATACGATGGCATCGACCGCACCATCTACTACAACAATGACGACGGCATCTACCACTTAGAAGGCCAATTAAGGCGACGCTGGACTAGACAGAAATACGATATTTGAAGAACGGAAATGATGAGTGTTACCAGCTCCCTTGAAATGACGGGAATGAACTACAAATCTGGAGTTAGAATCGAGCTACAAAAACGTTCATAGTGAGAGCAATACGAATTGCACATTCAAGTTGTATCTAGAATCATGGAGTTCTCTATATGTCTATGAGATGGCCACTATGGCAGTATCTCCAGTTGTTGAAAATTGAAACTATGAATCATTAGTGCACAGATAAAAGCATCCTCAGCCATAACTAGACGTGCATATATATATATGTACAATGTAGAACCGTACAGGGACAAAAATTTTCGGCAATGTTGAGGAGATTTTTCCAACATGTGTACAAGGGATCTTTTGCTTGCGCTATGAGTTGCACTATAAAGCTTAACGTAGAAAATATATGTAGTTGTATGTGACTGTACGAAAGGATGGTTGTAGATGCGCCTATGAGCAATTCACCACTCTTCACTGCCTCTTGGCTAGCGTCTTCTTGAGACCTCTCAAGATTTTGACAAACCACACTGTGTTCATCACTAATAGTATTGTGGGCACAGCGAATATCAGAATGCAGCTAAAGGTGCGCATCTGCTTAACCTGTCAATAAACAAGAACAGTTTAATTTCAGTGATTTTTGTCATGTAGACATGTACCCATATATCAAATCAGAAGGATATAGCACCTGATCAATGTGAAAGTATATGTGGTAAAACAAGTAGATGAACAAAATTATCCTTGCCACCTGTAGTAAGCAAATGGTGGTCCACATTTGAGATATATAAGAACTTCCTAAACAGCACCAGAGACAGCGTCTAACTGATTAGGCAACTATTATTGATTAAGCACGATTCCAAATCTCCCTCCCTCTCATACTTACGTACACACAACAAATAACAAGGTTGAATCTCGCTATATACAGATTCAATTATAATTCGTGCATGCATGTAGTACATCTAATAATAGTACATAACTATCCGATCACCTGCAGTCAATGCATGATTTTTAACTTCTAACCTCCAATTACAGTGTAGCAACTTTCACTTACCAGCCATGCAACAAACATTGTAACACCATTGACAAGATAGGCTTTCGATCTTTTCATTCCAACAGTATCAAGAAACCTTTGATGAAGAAGGTACATAACAGGTCAGATAGATTGAAGTAAAATAAGTATAAAGAAAAGGTGCATGATCTTTTTCATGAAGCATACCATCGGAGGTTGATTCCAGGTGTGGTTGTTTCAGAGATGAGAACCATGTATGTGTACAACTGTCCTTCTTCAGAATAAATAGCATAGACTAAAGAAATAATTGACAGCAAGTGGTGAAGAACCTGACAATGGTCAACCCAAGTGATGAATAATATGAACAGCAGAGCACACAGTAATTGAATAAACACTGAATAGCAGTAACCTAGAAAGTAAACAAATGGTGAAATAAAATAAATGGTAATGATCAACTATGCTCACTTACATACTCCATTCCGCCAAGGGAAGGATAAGCCCAGGATAACATAGCAAGGTCAGCGATGAAGTACCCCAGAGAAACCTAAACAGATTTAATTCAGCTAACATGTGGCAAAAGGAGAAAATGTATATATCAGCATAACCTATTATTCAATGCGGATAAACAGTGACATATGTTACCCCCAGTGTAAAATTGGAGAGGTTTGAACTCCGAACTGTTACTGGGCCATCCAGCTCATCAGAGAATAGGTTGGAGAAGAATACTAGGTAAACTGACATTAATGTGATAAACATTGCATGGACAGTGGACATGCCCCTAAAACAGTTAGAAGGTGGAAGTTAAAAGACAAATATAGCGTGAAATAGGACATAAATTCTACAAACACACTGCTTCACCTGTTGTTCCACTCAAGCTTTTGGATTTTCGTAAGAGAACCATAACCCTTGTAGTACAATGAACTGATTAAGTGTGTGATGTCATAGACCTGAGATACAAGTGATAAATTGTAGTCAAGACCAAGAAGAAATTTTTCAAAAGAGGTGGTACATAGATATTAGTCATAGCAAGTCCCATGCAACTACTTAATGTTTACATAATACGTAAATAAACAAAACGGCACAGTTTATGATCATTTATGAATATTACATAGCATTGCAGCATACTTACTACTAACATGCTGTGGTCACTATTGACCAATGTTGTTTTTTTTAAAGGAAAAGCGGAAATATGTCAGGTCGAATTAACACAACTCTAGGTACTGAATAATTCAAGCAGCTAATAGGGCATTAAGCGTAAAGATATGCTAACCCACCCCCCACCCTCCCTCTGCTGTTTTGTTTCCATATAGGATGCTAAACCTGATCCATCATATTACAGCACAGATATAAATCTTATGATGGAAACTGTATTTTCTGTGAGGAGCTCACACTGAGGTTAGTTTGTGTTAGACTAACCATAAGATGATTGGTTCTATGAGGCATTATTGAGATCAATTTACTGTAGATTGAGTTGAATAATCTCTAAAAGATCCTAATAAGATTAAACGCTACAAAGTTATAATTCAAAGAAACAGTTAGACTTGTTTCATAATTTTAATTTGAAAATTTATTTAAATCTGCAAGCATACAGGCAAGTCAAAAGTCATAAATAATCTGAAAACAATTGCACATATATCTGCACTTACACAGCTTATCTCAATTACTTTTATCTATAGGTCCATATCTCAAGATTGATGTGGCAAGTAGCCAAGTTACACTGAGAATATGGCTATATTAATTCGATCCCAGAAAAACCTGCTTATAATAATAGTCATCTCATATAAAGGGGCCCTACCTGCTCCACAGTCCTCGCTTATAACATAGAAAAAATATATCAAACCTACACCGATTTTTCCATTCAGCTAAATATAACTATCAAAGTGACAATTCACATGTAGACTTATAGTAAACATCAACAGATAAGAGGGACAAATAATACCATTTTGCACATCAGGATCCCACCAAGCACAGCAGTGTATGAAACATAACAATCTGCAAGAAGGTAGTCCTTAACAAGTGATTCTGCTCTGTACTTGTAGGCCTTAGCAGCCACTACTGAAGTCGTGGACAGATCCATCATCTGATATACCTTGACTCCTGACCTGATGAAAAGGGATGAGTCAAGTAGGACATTGTAGATTCAGCCATGGAAATTAGAGAGTCAAGAACAATAAATGGCCAGTACTACAGAAAACTAAGAATAATTTAGAGACATCCAGCTACCCACATGCTCAGAAAAGCAACCAAGAGAGAGATCAAAAAAAGAAAAGCAACCAAGAGATGGGTAAATATAACATCCAACTGACCATTAAATGTATATTAGGAAACAATGAAAGCCCAAAAATATAATTTGGCAGATTATTAAACAAGTTACTAGATGTTTTAATTAGTACTTTGAAGCTAAATAAATTCTCGACCACTTTCATATTTAATGCTCAATAGTTGAAAAAAAGCAGGTAGTACCATGTAGCAGATATTGAATGCAAACTACAATGTTGAAGGTTGTAAACACGCAACAGCACATTGCAGAAGGGGAATGAAGTAGTCCTATAGTTTGGTAGGTACTAGAGACATAATTTGAGACAAGCAGATAAGGCCGTGTTTAGTTCACCCCCAAATTCCCAACTTTCCATTACATCACATCACATCCAAAACTTTCCTACACACATAAACTCTAAATTTTTTTTCCAAACTACTAACTTTCCTCAAACTTTCAACTTTTTTCAGGAACTGAACACAGCCTAAGATATCCTTCATCGCGAGATGACTCTGAATCTGAAAAGTTTGGAGCTGATCATATGTTTGGCTATCGTTGCTATATAATTCAGACAAAGCAACATGGGTCATAATGGAGCATAGATCCAATGCAGAACAACCCATGAAAAGCAACTGTACTTGCATATGCATGAACTTTAATCCAAGAAACGAACTGTAAACACACCGTGTGGCACCAGGCGGTGTGGGTATGCATTTGACAATCAACTACTCATATGTGATTGCATGTTCGATAAAGCATTCAACAAAACAAAACGAAAAAAAAAATAAACATGAGGAACATCTCCGACAACGGGAGACGCTCCGGCTTGCTGCAAAAGTTTTAGCCACACAAGAAAAAAATGTATACAAGGAATCAAGAACACCAACATATGTGTGCAATACGATCAAACATTCATCCCAAGTCGTCAGCGCGGCAGGGGACGACGACCTAACGTGTCGCACGGGGGGCAGGTTCACGCATCAACGAAATCCTGAAGAAGCTGTATTCGCTTATTTCAACCTCCTATATCTACGAGAGGAAGAACGAATACCTTCAGTTCTATTCCGGCCGAGGTGGAGGTCGGCGGTGGAAGGATGCCTCCCGCATAGCCCCCCTCCGAACCTGAGCTCTCGCTGGCCCTGCGCCGCTCGAGTAGGCCGCGCCAACCGAGGATGCTAGGTCGGGCTCGGCGACGCGCCTCTGGGCTTGCTCGCCGGCCGCGCGTGCGGGGTCGCGGACTCGCGGGGAGAGAAGGCCGGCCGCCCGTTCCTCCGGCTTACACGGGAAAGCGAGAGCGAAGATGAAGGTGCGTGTGGGAAGGAGAGAAAGAGATGGAGGGGGGTGATTTTGTCATTTTCCTCAGCTTTTTTTAAATCTTTTTTTTAAACATGTGTAATTAAAATTCCTAACCCTTGCGGTCCATTTTCAGCCGAGAAATTTGATGGTTTGATTTTATTTTTTTCGTTGTCATTTTGCTTTAATTGATACTACCTGTGAGTACAACCATCCGAGTTGATGAAAATATACCAAAATGTCAAATAATCAAACCCCATTTTATAAAGTGTCAAATTATCAAATCTCTATTTCTAGCTAAGCCGTGGTAGATAGGAGCAATTTCAGTATCAAATCTATGGTCTATCCAATTTTGGGAACTTTATCTGAGAATGCTCAATATCCGTATGCCGTTTTGCTTGTTGATTTTGTTTTAGCAAGTCTTGATGACTGTTGATTTGTTGTGGCGCAGTTAATGATAATCTCATTTTTAGTGAGATTTCGACTTGGATGGTCTAGTAGAGGCGTAGAGCGCTCATTTGATCGTGACGCCTTGTGTGGCTTGACCCGCTCAAGCTCCCTCTACTCTCTAATCTCTAATTTAACGACTAAATGGCTGGTATTCAAGTCTATCGCGGTGTTTGTTTTTTTGTTCGATTTTTTAACATTTAGCATGCGACGCGACGTGAGTTCAATCAAATAGTAAAACAAAACCAATAAAAAGCAATAATCTATCTGTAGCATTTCTTGGCATGATCAAACTGTTATTAGTCTCTGTACAGGCGAACACTGCTGTACCATCCGTTATCTGACGTTCATGATCCAACTGTAAAACAGCGTGCAGCGTCCAGATCAACAGCGCTACGAGACGAACCTACGACAGGCTACGGCTAAGCAAGCTCTGGAACGACATGAAGAGATCCTTGTTCTCTGAACCGAAGATCTCGTCAGCTTTCTGGAGTGTCTCCTGCAACACAGCAATAAGAAACGGTGTCAGAGATTAAAGAACTCATGTTCTGAAATCTGAACGGATTAACGGGCCGGTTGGGACTCAGTTGAAAACTGAGGCTTGGTGTCGCAAATGCCAACCTCTCTGGATTGCCTGTGAGCGTTTAGCTCCTTGATATTGGCAAGAAAAGCTGCGAATTGTTCATAGGAGAGACGATTCCTGGGGAGAAACACCAAAAAGAAATATGCATAATTCATGCTGTGCGTGCACTGTGCAGGTCAGGAACTCAGGATGAAATGAAGAAACATGTTTAATTGATACAGTCGATTTGAGAATGTTGGACTAGCTTTACCTTGCCTGACGAAAGAACTCCTTGCCATCTACTCTCGTCGTGCGCCCTGAAACAGAGTTCGAAACCAATTTTCAATGGTTTATTGCATACGGATTCAGTGTAAGGCAATTGATATCGCTGTCACTGGATTAGTGATGGATGCTGATGAACTTGGAAGTTGGAACAAGAGGGACCTGAGATCGAGTGGGCGCGAGGCGGCGAGTTGGCAGCAGAGGACATCTTGCTGGAGGGCAGCCATGGCTGCATCGCCATGTGGCCTTCTAACCGAGGCGAAGTGGCGCTGGCTGCCAGCTTAGGCGACACGGCGGTGGAGTATCTTCTCGGGGAAGTGGCAGCAGTTCTCGTCTTCGCCGCGGGATCAGACGTGAGCCGCGGAGAGATGTGGGTGACGGAGAGCTTCTGCTCGAACGGTCTCGCCACTGTTTTGTTTGGAGAAGGAACACGAGCAAGAAGAATCAGCTGCTCACATTACATTGCTCTCGAACTTGGAGGTACATGCTATATTTTTTTTTTCTGATCATACCTTCCTGGTTTACGCTTTCAATTTCGGTGGATCCATCAGCAAGAGAGGAGACAGGATGATGATGACGACTATGTGCCACTCCATCTTCAGAAATGTTGCAGAGGTGCATTCGTATGAACAGATGAACAGTGTGTATGTGTGTGCAATAGCAGTGCAGCTCTAGAGCAATAATATGAAACAACATTTTTCAAGAGAAAATACCTTTCCAAGAACTTGCTTTCGCTACCGATTGCTCGCAGGTTCTTATGTCCACTGTCTCCTGAATCTGTTCATGAGTTCATCGAGACCAAAAATGGATTATTTATTTACACTACCCATAATATATAATAAGTTCATGGGACAGAAAATTTGGTTAAGGAATGAAGAGAGAACTAAAGGGCCTCACCGGGGGATTATCATCACCCAATGACTGCATTAGATGCCTCTTGAAGGTTTCCAACTGAATCAAGATAACCATAAAAAGAAGAAATTCGTTATCTCAGTGTAAAGGAAATTTGTGCAAATGTGCAGCTGCAGCTCAGCAACTGTGTGATCATCTCAGGCTCTCAGCTCAGCTCTCACCTTGGCGAGATCCCTGGCCAGTTTCTTGGACGTGTGCGCGAGCGAGTCTCTCTCCTTGGCAAGCTTAGCCTTCACAAAAAACCACGCAAGAAGAATTAAGCAGAGCTCAGAGAAGAGATCGATGATCGAGCAACAGAAGAAATTACACCCCAAACTCTGCACACGATCGAGCCGAGCCGAGCTCAACGTACATTGTCGTCGAGGGCGGCGCGGAGGCGGGCGTCGGAGTCACGGAGCGCCTGCTCGAGCGACGCGGCCCTGTCGGCGAGCTCCGCGGCGAGGCGGTCCTTGTCGGCCAGCTTCTGGCGGAGCCGCGCGGCCTCCAGCTCGAGGCGCGACGCCCGGGCCGCCACGGCCACCGCCGTGATCTTGCGCGCCACCTCCAGCTGCTCGTACGGGTCCGGCGGCAGCGCGGCCGCGATGGCGTCGGGCAGCCCCGCCTCCGACACCGCCACCGCCGGCGCCGGCGCGGCCGCAGCGGGGGTGGGAGTCTGCGTCATCGATCTCGGCCTCGGGCCGGGCTACCGCGCGCGGCGGAGGCTGGTGGCGAGATCCGAAGCGGGGAGCAGAAGGCTCTCGGGGCTCGCACGGGGAAGGAAGGAAGGAATGTGGATTGTGGAGTGGAGTGGGCTTTGCTTTGCTGAGCATGTGGCATGCAGGTAGAATTCAGTTCCAAGCGAACAAGGATTTTCTACACCTAATTACCGTGGCAACTATTATTTGCATGCGACTCAAATAGTTATAGAAAAAATTAAAAAAATTTAGTAACATCGTTTGGGATGATACAAGTCTATACACAAACATGCAGGACTAAATTTGATCTACAACTAGAGAAACAAAAATAATAAAATCAGACAGTGAATAGTACCCATACAGTGCAGATAAAATTTATTATTTTTGTTTCTTCATATATCGATCAAATTTAGACTTGCATGTTTACATAGTGTCTTGTATTATCATGTACTATCTTATCAAATTTTATGAAATATTTATATAACTATTTAAATTGTATGCATACACCTAGGTGCACCTAGGTGTAAAAAATACTTCTTCTTCTAATGCGCGAGGTGTTGGGAACGGGGCAGCTGCACGTGTGGCGAATGGATTCTGATCATCTTCTTGATTTTTTTTATGTAAATTTGATGTTCCTTTTATTATGGCAGAGTCATGAACTAGCACACAATATATCAGTCGTTTTGTGCATGTCATTTAAAAAGTTATAAAAAATTTAAATTTTTTTTGTCAAGATAGATCAATATATGACATATCTTTTTTAAACATGTGAGTTAAAATTCGACTTATACAATTCGAAACAAAAATAATAAATTTGACCGTGAATTACGCGTTCTATTCATAGTCAAATTTGTTTATTTTGTTTCTACTTGTATAAGTTGAATATGAATTTGCATGTTTGTGAAGTGACATATCACATATTGATCTATCATACTAAATTCTTTAAAAAATTTTGATGACTTTTTATGTAACATGCAAAATGAGAAGATATCTCCTTAAGAGATTATTTGAGTTTCACCAAATTGAGCGCTTTTTTTCAAGTGAAAGAACCAATGTGAGCTTTCAAGGGATCTCGAGAGGCAAGAGCATGAATCCATTCACCCTAACTGACAAAGAATACCATGTCCGCCTTTGCCAGAGAACAATGCCCACCGTTTATTATCAGTTTAAGATTTCGGAGAACTAGTCATGCACCAAACTCAATATAAAATGTTGTTTTACCAGGTCGTAGGCTCAGGTACGCAATGACAATGTGGACGCAGTTCGCTTGTTTTGCCCTTTCGTCAACTCAGCTCAGCTCGACAGTCGGCAATACCACTGCCCAATCATTTTCACTCGCAGATAATAATCTCAACCTAAGCACTGTTCGATCCCCCGAAAATACTCTCCACGTTAAACACGCTCACCGGAAGTCAAAGACCAGCCGCTCTGCCCCCCGGGTCCCACGCCGCGGCGACTGACTCCATGTCGCGACTAATCACACGTCAGGATCGAGCTCACTCACAGTCACAGGAAGTGTCAAAGTCCATGGTAGGAACGTGATTAAATTTCTCACCCTCACTTCGGTCAGTTGGTCACGGTGCGCGTAGGCGTCGTACGTGCTCGTTGCAAATCTTCAAGCTAAAGCTCTCCCCCTCGATCCCTTCCCTCCCTTTTCCTTGTCGCGGGAGCAATTCAACGAGAGAAATCGTATTACAGCTGGGTGAGCCAGTGAGACTCACTACCGGGTCGTCAGCCGCAGCGAGTTCACGCGGCTCGGGCGGCTGGTTAAATGGCTAGCGCCTCCTCTCAATTCTCATTACCGAAGCACACCTTGCCTGGCAGCATCACGAGAGCGGCGGCGGGGCATTCATCTGGGGTAGTAGCTGAGATGAAGGCCGGGTACGTGCCGGTGCTGGTCGGGAAGAGCGGCGGCGGCGGCGGCGAGGCGGCGACGAGGTTTCTTGTGCCGGTGGGGCTACTGAACGACCCGTGCATGGAGGCGCTGCTGGAGCTCGCCGCCGACGAGATGGGGTACGGGCAGGAGGGCGTCCTCATCATCCCCTGCGACGCCGACTTCTTCCGCAGGGTCGTCACGGCCATCCCGTCGGCCAACAAGGCGAACCTCATCTGTAGCCCAAACAGCCAAACTGACTGCTAGTGCCTATTCGATTATGAATTTACGATCATGGTTTCTGATTCCATTTCTGCCCGGTCATTTTGCTCTGTAAATATTTCTTCGTTACAGTGAAGTGGTACAGATTAAGATTATGTTTAATCTCGCAAACGACTATTTTTGTAATGTTTGTGACAGAAGTAGGGGAGAAAAAAGGTACATCAACCCTATCTGATCAAGATAAACCAAAACCGTATTGTTCCATTTGCTCCTCACCTGAAGCAACATCTGTAAAGACTGTACGGGCATGCACGTAGTGGCGGAGCTATAATAAAATGAAGGGGATTCCACTCACTTGCTACTCTGGTTTGAATTAAATTTAGCTTGATACGGGTGCCTAAGTTTAAATTGATGGGGTATATATATGATAAAAATAGATAAACTATAGGTAATTTTTTTTTGAACCGGGTTTTTGGGCACCCTAGCTATACTAGCTCCGCCCCCCTGTGCGCGCGTCATCATTCGAACAGACCTATCAAGTGCCACACATTTTCTCCAAATTCCGAGGTCCGCGGGTTGCATTGTTGACAGATTGGACGCGAATATTAGGGAATGACCTAATATCAAATAATTAGAATTCTCTAGATTCTGAGGTCCGCAGGTTGCATTGCTGACAGATTGTTAACCGGACGCGAATATTAGGGAACGACTTAATATCAAATAATTAGAAGGGGTGAGGCTTCGAACCCAGGTTGTCTAGCCCATCATCTTATGGAGCTAGCCGGAAGACCCCTGTGTGTTTCTCGACAGATTGTTAACCGGATTATTATTACCATGGATCATGCCTACTCCCTCCGCTTCAGGTTATAAGACATTTTGACTATAGTCAAAGTCAAACTGCTTTAAGTTTGACAAAGTTTGTAGAAAAAAGTAGTAACATTTTTAATCCAAGATAAGTTTATTATGAAAATATATTCAATTATTGATTTGATGGAACTAATTTAGTATTAGTACTATATTTGTATGTAAACTTAGTTAAACTTAAAATAGTTTGACTATGACCAAAGTCAAAACGTCTTATAACCTGAAATAAATGGAGTACTTGATTATATAAAATAAACCAATTATTTTTTAAAAATACCATTAACAAATAGTTTAAGAACGAAATGTTATAAGGATGAAATACAGTAGAGTAAAGCATTTTGAGAAAATATATTTTTAAAGAGTGGAACAAATATCCACAATGATAATCTGGTGAATTAGCTAGAAAAGAATGGAGCCAAACAGTGTACGATGTTTCCTCAGCCAAACAACCCAAAGACCTTGCAGGTTCTTGTACATGTTGTAGGCTTGGAGGAAGACACGAAGATCTCATACAAATCAACATCCTATTTGGTGTTTGGTATAGCTGTGGAGTTTGTAAGTGAAATTATAGTGGTTCAATATGTATATATATATATATGTGTATGTATATGTATATATGTGTATGTGTATGTATATGTATATATGTATATATGTATGTATATGTATGTATATGTGTATATATATATGTGTATGTATATGTATATATGTGTATGTATATGTATATGTATATATGTATATATATATTACAATCGCATAAGAATAAAATGATTCAACAAAATGACAGTGTTATAAATATATATCTTTGAAGGTAGAAATATTTGGTTTTTTTAAGAAAGTTACAACTCAGGACGCACACTCACACCACAACACACGCTAGGAATAAGATTGGAGACCTTCAGATCTCAGTGCACGGGAAACGTACAGTCCCACTGAACACGCACGCGTGTGTGTACCCGAGACTCCCGAAGAAAGATGGGAAAATCCCGTCGAGGTGAGGTCCCGCGACCGGCCGTTCGCTCCACTGCGAACGTGCCAACCGGGCTACGCTCGATCCTCGTAGAAATACTCGGCTAGAAGAAATCTTTGGATGCGAAGATGCATGTGATGGCCTAAAAATTCGTATAGCTTCGAGCACGGCCTATACAAACTGGAAAGGGGAAAGCTCCAACCAGTTGGGCCCGATGTCCACAACCTTCGGCCCACTACTATTTCTGTCCCTCATGCCCTCACGAAATTTTTTATTTTTAGATTTTTTTTTAAATATTTACAGAAATAATCTATCGGCCAAAAAAATTACAAAAATAGACCCTGCCGCCCACCACTTGGGCGGCAAGCTGACGTAGCAAACGGGGGAGGGACGGGCGGTGACGGAGGGAGGGTTTTTTGCAGGAAAACCCTTGCCGCCCTCTATTGGGCGGCAAGGGGCCCCAATGCAAAAAAGCCAGCCGGGGCCGGCCATTTTGCAGGCGGCCCCTTGCCGCCCTCTGGCCGGGCGGCAGGCCTCGCTACCTATAAAAGGCATGCCGCCCAGCCCCCAGCCCTCATTCCTCCCCCCACAAATCCAGTAAAAAAAAGAAGAAAGGGGAGGAGAAGAGAAGAAGGGGCGAAGCCCTGCCGGATTCACACGCCGATTTCAGGTAATATTCATAGATCCTATATGTGACTATTGAGTTAAATACTGTGTATTTTTTAAAACTTTGTTTGAATAAATGCATTATATTTTTAAGGTTTTAGTTGTACTAATCTAGAAGTGCGTATTGTAGATATCGGTAACTACGTAGATCTGCTAGTTTGGAATCAGTACTTTACCGTTGCATTGGCATACACAAGAAGATATTACGTTGTAGGTGTTTATTGTATGAAATAATAATATGATCTAGTTATTTCGTTGACAGATATGTCGAACAAACAAATATTCCAAGTTTACCATGGCCCAGGAAACGTCCGTTACGGGCCAACTGGGGTAGATCTGTCAGAATTTATTGTATCAGAAAGGGGAATTGATAGACCGGCTGAGAGGAGTGTACCTTCTATAAAAGGATGGTTAATGAGGGGCTTGAGAGTTGATCCACAGACAAGTGACATAACAATCAATGTTATAGTAAGTCGGGCAACTGAGGGTTTTTATTGGGAACTAATGCCAGTTCAAAACTCTCGAGTGTGGAGATGGTATGTGGAAAATGCATTGCAACGCGGGTGGCCTCTAGCTATGGTTCCGTTTGTTCACCCGAAGGATCCAGGTGTGCAGATGAACATGGATGATGGCGATGGACCAAGTGCTGAAGTAAATGAGACTTCTGTGGAAGAGGTCAACGCACGAGAGGACGGGGGCGTAGTAGCTCTAGTGGGCATTCAACCAGGTGGAGTGGCCGACGAGAGGGAGACTGTCGGTGCCATTGTGGATGAAATGGAGAGGGAGGATTCTGACAACAAGCGTGTAGAGGAAGGTGATTCATCAGATGATGAGTCAGATATTAATCCAGCAGAATGGGCTAGTGAGGAATTTTCTGGTCTGGTCGTCTCTAAAGAGGATAGTGTGAGATGGGAGTACAAAGAAAATGAGGTTATTCAGGGAGCGATTTATACTAGAGCAGAAGATATGAAGGAGGTGGTAAAACATTTTGCAGTGTCACTTCATAGAGAGTTTTGGGTTGCCAAGTCCAACCGGTCGCAATATGAAGTTCGGTGTGTTAAGGAAAAAGATGGTTGTCCCTGGAGAGTGCACGCTTATAAGGGAAAATGGAAGGATTATTAGACAGTGTCAGTCGTTACCAAGCATACATGTTTTCTACCTGGTGTTCAGAAATACCACAGGAACATTACATGTGCATTTGTTGCATCTGAGATGTATGCGTATGTCATCGATAATCTCACATATGAACCAAGGTCAATAATCCGACACATCGAAGAGACATACAAGTATACTATTAGCTATGCCAAGGTGTGGAGGGCCAAACAGAAAATAATAGAGATGAGATTTGGAACTTACGAAACCTCGTATGACAATTTGCCACGCCTGCTTGGTGTTATCGAAGAAAGAAACCCTGGGAGCTCTTACGCAGTGAAGAAATTCCCCTCAACTGAACATCCTGGCAAGAGTGTGCTGCAAAGGGCGTTCTTAGCTCTACATGCATGCAAGATGGCATTCGTGAACTGTCGTCCTGTTCTCTGCATTGATGGGACATTCTTGACTGGAAAGTATCGGGTCTAGATACTAACAGCAATAGGGGTAGATGGGAACAATCAGGTATTGCCCTTGGCATTTGCTTTTGTTGAAAGTGAGAATACCGACAGCTGGTACTGGTTCCTGAAATTGGTTAAAACAAAAGTTGTTGGTATGAGGCTAAATGTGTGCCTGATACATGACAGACACGCTGGCATTCTGCGAGCGATAGAAGAGTTGTAGTTTGGGAGTATGGAACGAGGATACCCTGGTGAGTGGGAAGATGTACAGAGTAGGTGGTGCATGCGTCATATGGGAGCTAATTTCTTCAAGCAATTCAAGAACAAGGAGCTCATGAACATGTTCAAGAGGCTATGCAATCAGAACCAGGAGAAAAAATTCAATGAGCTTTGGAAGAGATTAGATGAGTTGACAGCCAAATGCAGTGATCAGCATGCAGCGGCTCCATCGACCACCGTTGCTGACCCTCCTCAAGCTCTTGGACCTCTCCCAACGGATAGTCCAACATTGGTTAGAAGAACTGGAGTGGAGATTCGGAAATTTTCTCAGTGGATTCTGCATGAACCAAAAGAGAAATGGGCCAAGGCGTATGACACAGGTGGTGCTAGATATGGAATAATGACAACAAATTTGGCAGAAGTTTACAACTGGGTGATGCGCGGTATCCGTGGACTCCCACTAGTTGGCATAGTGGAGTTCATTTTACATGGGACATGCAGGTATTTTAGGGATCGGTTTCAGGCAGTTCTTCCCTCTATACCGAACAACAGCATTTTATTCGGAACTTTCATGCAGAAAAAGCTAGAGGAGTTGCGTAAAAAGGCCATGAAACATCTAGCTCTAGTGCAAGGTACCCAACAGCACAGGTTTGAGATACTATGTCAAGATAAGGCAGGCAGGGGTATCTACCGCAAGAGAGTGAAGTAGGAATGTGTTCTCAAAGCCGATGGCACATGTCATTGCTCTTGTGCAAAGCCGAAGCTGCTCCACAGGCCATGCACCCATGTCATTGCTGCCGCAACGGAGTGTGGCATACCAGATGCAGTATATGTGTCACAGTACTTCAGTAAGCAAGCAGTATATCATACATGGAGTGGCGAGATTATGGGTTCGGCATAGCTGGGGAGTTCACAAAGACTAACGATGAAGTACTCAATATTCCTGACCCATCGAAGCTCCGAGGTAAGACTGGAAGGAGGAAGACTCGTCGCATCCGCAACGATATGGACGAGTCGGAGGCTGGCAGGGTGAAGCGTTGCAGCAAATGCGATGAACGTGGGCACACGTACAAGCATTGTCACTACGTCAGGATAGGCATTTAATAACATGATTTTGTGTTACTATATCCCTAAAAAGGTGTTACAATGGTCTATTGGAACACATCAGTAAACTGTTACTATAGACTATGTTACTATAGTTTAGTTTGTTGTAACACATTGGACCGTTCCTGTAGAAAAGAAAAGGTGTTACATTAGTGCTATAGCAACACGTATTTATGTGTTACCATACATCATAGTAACACCATTTTTCTAGTTGTACCAACACTGTTTGTAATTTGTTTTTTCACTTGTAGCAACATATTCTGTAACACCTTTTTTACATATTGCAACATAATTACAAAAGAACTGTAGTGCACTTTGTAATATTAATACATTTATTAAGAAAATGGTGTAATAAAGTAAATGCACATACACACAATAGGACAAATAATCATAAACGAAGTGATGTAACCATGATATTACTTTGCAATAAGAAAGTTTTGATGAGCACTCTAATTACATCATCCCAATTGAAAACAAACAAATTCAGAGTCATGTCCTTTGAAAAGGTAAATACATATTTCGAGCAACAAACTACTAGCAAAAAAATATAGAATATATCTAATCTTATGTAATCTTCATCAGCTCCATATCTTGTTGATTCCATCTTGATGTGATCCTAAAACATGAGAATTTTAACCATTGATCTTTTGAACCTACATAACAAATTTATATATTAGCATTTGCATTGCAAATATAGTATTCATCATATATATATTACATGAAGGTATTATGAGCATACACAAAATGAAGGCCAAGCAATCGACATTCCTTCATAATGGGCATCACCAATTGTCTTGCAGTGCTTTAGTGGCCTTACGAGCTCTTCATCTTCCTTAAGTGGATGATTGACAACCACTTTAGTGAACTCGTTACCAATCTCAACACCATCCACTTTGTCTCTTGGGTTACTACTCAAATAAGTAGCATATGCCACAGTTTCTTTGTTAGGATATTTTGCAGTCACCAAGATTATTGTGGTACCAACCTACAATAGAAATAATGTATTCATTAAGAAATATACAATAATTAATTGTTAAACAATAATTTAGTAGTACCATCTTTGTATGTTTTTACTACCTTCACTGAAGAAGAATGCACCCTATTTTGGGCCATGTGATGTGCAGTCTTCTTCTGAGTGTCCTGTTTTTCTGTAGTCTTTGCAAATTTCTCTAAATTTCGGTGCTTCTTTTTATTCATCTATGTTGAGACATAAGAAATTTTGTTACATTACAAAGAGGTCAGAACATATTGCATTATTACATAACTTTTGTACTTTGAACCCAACTCTGCACATTAATCTTATAATTAGGAAAAATGGAAGGACATGACATATAACAGTATTTAGATCATGTAAATGGTATATACAAACCAATAGCACAAATGAACAAGACCAACTTTATTAAGATATGACAAATTGCTTTTAATATCCTTTCATGTTTATCATTCGGTTGCCAACACTAAATGGCATAGATGAAGGGTCCAAAGCTAAACTTGAGCACTAGAAGCTACTACTTAATTTTCAGTTGATTAATGTCTATAAAAATATAGCAGTACTCCTTGAAAAGATTATGTTTATGTTTCACACAAATGATGCATTCACAGATGTAGCATTGCCTAACTAGGAGTTCTCCCAACAACGTGTTTATATTTCACTCTAATATCATAGTGAGATGAATAAAACACATTGAGAAACAAGTACAATTTTAATAGGCATTCAAGAACTACCTCCCACCGAAGATCATGAGCAAGGTGTGGCTGTGATGATGAATCATCTTGACATGGTGATCCTATGTTGTTATCAGCCTCCTGGTGCTGGTTCCATGATATATAATCCATGTAAAACCATATATAAATTGCATTGCACCATATGAATGAAAACAACAAATCCTAACCTTTTTGCCACAAAGATCCAGAATATTGTCATGGTGCATATTTTGCTGTTCCTCACATCTTCTTTTGTTCTATAGTGGAATGGACAATAAAAATTTACTATACATGCCAGTATGTGTATTGAGTGTTCAAATAAAATTTATCAATTAGAAACGACAAAATACCATTGATATATTTATTTGATTACTCATTGAGTCGTCTTGATCAGGTCTACTGCATCGAACCCTCTGTATGTGCACATATTTAAATATTGTTGCACAAAATATGGTGAGAAACATAGAATGCATTACTTTGACATTACCTTTCTATTAGTCCGTACTACTCCCTCTTCAATACCATCATCAAAAGTTCTCTGAGATGTTGCCTACAGCAATGAAATCAGGAAGGGGTAAGATTTTAGTGTGAATCACATAAATTTTTTATTTTACAAGCATCTACAAAAATGAAATCAGAAGTAGCTAAAAATTCAATGTTAAGGACAAAGGTATTTATAACGTTTACCATAGTTGGTTCACTATTCCCATTGCTTGTTCCTTTGTTTTCCAACTCCTCAATACGCTGACCCAGTGTTTTGACTAATTTTTTTAATTCCCCCACTTCCCCTCTAACATGTGTCTCTTCATCCGATGATGAGTCATTCACTGTAGTGATGTTTATGTTCTTGAGATGATGTGATGTACGACCATAAACCTGCTTAGGAACAGGAAGTAATCCCATTCCGTGCACTTGGCCAGGTTTTTCTTTGCCCAATACTTTATTTAGCGCATCACCTTCCCATGCAACTCTTCCTTGATCATTTTGTGCCAACTCTGGTTGTTCATCGATGAGGTTCTCCAATGTGACCTGCAAGTGAAAAAATATATGCCCACTGTACAAGGTAGATAACATACATATTAGATATTTATGGAAGGATTATGTGTATATGGCATACCACGTGTTGATTTTTATCTTTATCCTTTTTTTGTGAGTTGCTAAGTAAACCATTGCTCTATGTGGCTGCTTCTTATTTGGATCATCTTGTCTCTGAAAATGAAAGGTAATGTAAGAAAGTAAAGTGAACATGTATAGATGAATTTTGAACGAAACAAATTGGCTCACCAAGTCCTCAGACCAACGAGCATAACTCTTTGTCCCTGCTGAGTGAGGGTTCTGTAACATTGAACGACTTCTTTTGTTCTTTGCACTGAGGGCCTATTACAGAAGCAATGTAGTCTCATTGAGTTCACACTTCCAATGTTGTTTACGGTAGGAACAACAGTACAATATATGTCAATGAGACAATAGTACAGATTGTGGAGCAGATTTTTTACCTTTCCTTTTTTTGACTTCCAATATTTGATAAGTGGAATCCATTGGTCTTTTTCTACATCGTCTGGACAAAGCTTATACAGAGCAGAACGCTTCTTCTTTGGGTTAAAATATTTATCTTTTAGTGCAGCCTTGTATCGCCTCCAATCTCTTCCAATTGATTTCAGTATCCATTGAACGCATGATGGAGGGTATAGGAACTTTGTCTGAAATACATAGGAATAATGAGAGTAGAAGTATTTTAATTTGCATGATTACGTCAATGGTTAGGCAAGGGATAACAGCAAGTAAGAAAACTCAGCATTGAATATCTGTAAAATACATATAAACATTGAATCGAAAACATTCAGTTGCCATGGATATGAACAGATGCATCAATCTGAGAGTAGGCAAAAAGTAATGACTAGTAATACAAACAGAGCATTATACTTATGCTATTTTAGCGTTTGAGGTACCTGGACAAATTGTAGTATTGTTAAATCTCCTTCATCTGCTTTGATCTTTCTCCAGGTCATCTTATCTAATGGACAGTAAGCTCCATTTCTTGCTAATGTGCCCAAAAACTGTCCTAGCAATCCACCTTCATCCCCGATAGGTTGCCCTAATCTGTTGCATTTTACAACTATACGTTTCCCAGGTGGAAGATCCCAAACATATCGCAAGGTTGTCCCCTTGCGCTTCTTCACCTCTTCATCTTGTACTACAAAATTAATTGACATAAGGCTCACTAACTTTAGGTTAACCATATATATGCAATCACAAACTATTTGGGATTCAGGTAGTTAAAGTTTTACCAGGCATGTTGAGGGGCTCATCATCTTGCTGCTCAACATGAATCACCTCGTCTTCATATGGTAGAGGAGGCTCGACTTGTGGCAATGATTGTCCGCTGCTACTTCCCTCTCCATTTCCATGGTGACAGCTGCTATGTACTATGTTCAACCTTTTCTTTCTAGCCATTTTGCCTGCAAAATTGGCTTACTGTATTTCAAGAGCACGAATTAATCTATGTGTAAGTATGCTTGACTATACGGGAATATTGTACCAACTACAACTATCTCTGCACAAGGAGTAAAAGATTAGAAGACTATACAATTATAAGTGTAGTATATGCATGACAAAAATATAATGGATGTAGCACTTTCAGCTAGAGAAGAATCCAGAAAAGAACCAAACAAATAAATATTCCTTTTTCTCAGCACCTTCCATTCCCACAGTACTGGAAAGCAAATAAATCATCAATTGCTCTTAAATGTTAAAGCTAAAGCAGAGTGTAATATGGCAGCTACAAGAGAAAAGCTATAGGTTGACCGCCTCTACATGAAAATCATATGCTTTGCAGAAATTGGAAAACTACATCTATTGAAAACTTATGAATTGTTCAAAGAGATAACTATAAATTATAAATGGCTTAATATGATATAACTGTGTCGGTGACATGGGATCAGGAGTATCATGACTAGAGGTTTGAGGCAGACACAATCGCCCACGTGGCCTGGCACCCTCGGGGGACGTCGGGCCCGAGGGTGATGTGTTCGCCCTCCTCTTAGTCCCCCCGAGGGGGTCGGGCCGCACCCGCCTCAGCCCCGAGGGCCGAGGCGCCCCGACCCCTCGTGGGTTTTCGCTCCGCGTGTATGGGTTAGGTGAGCACAGTGGGGCTCACCTAACCACATTTATTGTGATTTGGCTGAGCGTGTCACGCCGCATGTAACGCAGTGCAGTGCACTCATTTATCCGGTCTGTGACCAGTCACAGACCGGTCAGATTGCGGGTTAGGTGGCGACAGGCGATCTGGCGCACGCCTCGCCCCATCCCGTCAGGACGAGGGCTTCTAGGCGCTCGTCCCCAGCTGGAGCTAGCGTGTTACCTCCCAGAGATGGCACGTTAGTCCTGGTCAGATATATGTCAGGCTTCATCCTAACCATTACAGGCAAGATGTTGTGTGAAGAAGGGCGAACATGTAGATTGCTAAGCTGACACGTGGTGGACAAGAATGACCGACGTGACTGGTCTGACTCCGGTCATGTCGACAGCAGACAGCCACGATTCCACGTCGCATCTGCTCCCGGCGAAAGTGGAGGTAGTTGTAGGCCATCCCATCAGAAGGTGACTCGGACGGCAACTATACAAATCTCCGTCCATTTATGAAAAGGTAGGGGAAGTCCTCACAAAAAAGAGGGAAATGGTGCATGTGGTATCCCCTTAAGATATAAAAGGAGGACCTTGCCCACTTAGAGAAGGGGGGGACTGGACTTTTCCAGATTAGGAACCCAGAACAAGGGAGAGGCTGGCTCATACTTTGTAGCTTCTTCATACGCGAATCCACCAAAACACAGGAGTAGGGTATTACGCTTCTCAGCGGCCTGAACCTGTATACATCGCCGGCGTCTTGTGTGCTTCCTGTCTCGCGAACCTTCCACAGATTGGGAGCTTAGAGTCTCACCCAGGGTCCCCGGCCGAACCGGCAAAGGGGGGCCAGCGCGGTCTCCCGGTGAGGAGCCCCACGCTCCGTCAAACTGGATGCATATAATTGAGCTTAAATGCGGTAAGTACTACTAAACTTTCAGTTAAGACAGGGGCACTATATTCATTATAGACAAGAACACACATATGACCTGCTTGTTTGGGTTTGGAAGTACAGCCAGAGATACGAGCATAACAAATTTTCAGTTCCACATGGTAGAGGTGGAGATAAAAGTGAGAATGAATGCAGTAACCTAAAATTGACTATTTCACACAAGAATCTTCCCCTGCTTCTGTACTTTGCATAAACTTTGATTATTAGTCGGAGCATACATTTTGATTCGGTACTTAGCATTATCAAGATATCTAAACAGGAATATTTTGCACACAACTAATTACATAGATCTGGCAACATAAATCCAATTAATTCATTTCACAATAATGTAATCAATGTCACTGAACATATGTCATTAACCTGTTCAGATTGTCTAGCAGATGCTACCACGGTTTATCAAATAACTGCATGTTTGATCAGAACTTCAATAATCATCAGTGGGAACTAATTTTGTTTCTTGTACAGAAATAAACATGGAATTTAGATGGTGGTACCGGTGCTTTTCATCGAACACATGGTGTATATAGCTCTAACAGAGAGCAAGCCATCCAGTTTTATTTAACCCTAGTTGATCTAACTCTCAGAAATAAGCATCAGGAATTTTAGAGAGAAGGTACACAAACTGTAGAGAGGAATCCTTTGGTTGAAATGTCGATTCCTGTGACCTGCCCTCACCAAGCGCAGGCGAAAAGGATGGGGTGGTTTGGATCTTCGAGTCTGCAGATTCCACAACTCAAGAAATAGGGGAGAGAGTCTCGAGAGATGGCCAGATGAGGGGGAGAGCCATGGCCGGAGGCCCTGCGCGGCTGAGCAGTTGAGAATGCGATCTTAGAGGAGGCGATGGAGGAGTGCTCTGGTGAGAGATAATGGGGAGCAGAAGACTGACTAACTGATTCCAGGTTGAATGGGGATTATATAGGGAGCTTATTCGTTGAGAGAGATGTGGAGAGAGATTAGCAGGTTTGTTATCTAATGTTGCGGTACTACTTGGAGGGAAAATTGAGTTTGGCGGGAAGTATTTGGAGGCAAACTACGCATGAAAAAACTCAAGGAATTTCCTTATTGAAAAAAAAAAGATACATCTCAATTTTTTTACAAAATTGGTTAATTACTACATTAGTAATTTTGTACCTTACTGATAAAAATTAAGGAAATTCCTTATGTGATTAACGTGATCCCCTAATGACTGTGTCCCTCTGCTAGCTCTCCCTTCATTTTTATTCAGCAGAATAATATTATTTTAAAAGGGTATCTATATCATATAATATGAAACTAATGGTTCTTTTTTTCCTATTCTTTTTACCCGATTGTTTTTTTTTTCATATCATATAATACAAAACTAAGGGGAGCCATGCATTGTACGGACAAATATGCTTTTAGTTTATCACATTTCTTAATAACACCGAGCCTCTAATTAGTAGGTACGGTCCAACGTTTATTATTGGTCAAACTTGATTTATAGGGTCCGATGCTAGGAGAATTTGTAGTGTTAACGTGTCGAGTGCGGCTTTCTAAAGATAGAACTAACAGCGACGCGTCGCTCTCGGGCTCTCTACTGTTGGTGTTGCCGGTGGCTGGCTTTCTAAAGACAAAGTGTCACGCCCCGAGCTAGTCCCGACTGGAATTAGCCCGTGACGCTCCAAATTAACCTGTTAATCGATACCAGTCCCAGGAAATAGTGCCGGTATCACAGGAAGATAGAATATCACAGCAACAGAGGTCTCTTTATTATAGAGTAGGAGTACAGTCATGTTGGGCTGCGGACAGATCCCGAGCTCACAACTGCATTACAAAAGGGAAACGGAAGCCAGGGCTTGGACCAAACAACACAGGCGCGACTTGGGAACTAGGCCGAAACCCTAAAACTCATCGTAACCGGCTTGTTCCTGGAAGAACTCCTCATCAGCAGGATCCGCTTCATCTTCTTCAGCAACTGGGGGGGTTATTTATATAGAGCAAGGGTGAGTACAGGAGTACTCAGCAAGCCAGGGGAAATAAGTGTTTAATGCAGGCTTCAAAGAAAGGCCGGTATTTTTGCAATTGATTTTATTTGAACTCTTTTCTGAAACAACTAAGTGAGTGCTTCTCAAACGACACGGTTGAGACAGTGCGTCCCGTCCGGTCGGAGTATGTGCAATGTATCAGTCTTTACATCTTAAAACAAGGTTGGCACCCGGCCAACAGCTTTTCAACGGCCACCCGGGCCAACAACTTTTCAAACGGCCACCCGGGCCAACAACTTTTCAAACGGCCACCCGGGCCTAGCTGATCCCGTCAGCTACAGATTTTTCAAACATTGAACCTCTTTTCACAACAGCAATTTCACAAGCAGTAGTCAAACAAAACTACGCTAGGAATCACCTCACATCCGCCCATGACCGTGGGCACGGCTGTTCGAACAGTTTGTTAACCTCTGCAGAGGGGGTACACTTTACCCACACGACATTACTAACCCGGATCACCCAGCCCGTGGGGATCAGCCACGTCGGGAGACCTCCAAGCTTTCATGACAAGGCATTTCCAAAGCCGACACAGGTTTACCATATGCCGACGAGAGGGGTCCCAGACCAACAACAGGTTAGGTCCCAGACCATACTGTGCCAGGAAGCCCAGGGGTCCTCCCCGACACCACCCCGGCGAATCCACATGTCTCTCGGCATCAAGGCTCCCCTGATAAGCTAGTTACTCAGCCAGGGGTGTCCCATTCCACCCATGTGGTCGTACTTGTCTTATGTTTGGATGAAATTCCAAGGAAACGGTCTTTAAGTGCAAGAGCGGGAAACCGTACACCCGGTACGTTTCCCGGTCCGCGGTTTTGAAAAATCATTTAGTTCGCAAGCACCGACCCAGGTGTCGGGTTTTCCAAGTCTTTTGTAAAACTCCAGTTTTACCCAAGTTGTTTTTCAGATTTTAAGTTTGAAGGCGACCGTCGATACTCGCACAGAGTGCACGAATATCGAGGCGCGACTGGGTGGTTACAAGGGGACATGGTATAACAATTAACAAAGGAAGGATCAAATGCAACAAATTAGGTAGGTCTGCCAATCTGCCTTGCAGACGGGACAACAGATTATGTGCGATCCTATCAATGCATAATATTTTTCAAGCAACATAATTAAATTTCAAATATAGGCTCAAGATGTTCAAAGGTGGCTTGCCTTGCTCGAGATCTGGAGCTTGATCCTCGAAATCCTCGCACTGCGGGTCTTCGGGCTCCGAAACTACACGCGAAACGGGACAACTCAACAAACGGCGAAAAAATAAGGCCCTATTAATGACCTCTAAGCGTGCCATTAGATAGATCTCGAGATTTGGGAAATTTTGGAAGTTGAACGGAGTCAATCGGATTTACAGTTGGGAAGATATTGAATTTCTAAGATTATTGGATTTTTGGTCTGAAGGAAAAAGGATTTATTTAAACCCTTTTGGAAAAAGAAAAGGAAGGAGGGAGGGATTATAGACTTTTCCTCGGACGGCTAGGGCGCGGCCCAAGGGAAAAGGAGCGGACCGGCCGACCTAAATGGGCCGGCCGGCCCAAGGCGGCCCAAGTGCGCGCGCGCGGGAGGAGAGGAGAGAGAGGGCCGGTGGACCGGGCTCACCACGCGCGGTCCCGGGTGGGACCCGCTTGTCAGCGGCTCGGCTCACCGTGCGGAGGGAGCACGCGGCGCACGCGCGCGGGCGGGGGAGGGACACGGTGCACGCGCGCGGTTTGCGGTGGACGCGGGTGCGGCGGGCCCACGCACAGCCTCACGGCTCGCGGTGGAACGCGTGCACGGGGAGGGACTGACCGGGGTCGGCCCGACCCGGTCTAGGCTGAGCTGGCGCCGACGTGGCGCCTACGTGGCTGCCACGCGGGCCGGCGGGAGGTAGACGACGACCCGGCCGCGAATGGACGGCGGGCGGCGGCGGCGAGCGGCGGAGCGAACCACGGCGATACGGGCAAAAGCGAGCACACCGGGCGGTT